CCAGTGATATTTGGAAGAAGCTATAAAAATTTTAGAAACCCATTTTAACAACCTCTTTGTGCAAATTTATGTAAGTAGCAAAATGAAATAAATTGAAAAGAAAGGTATTGCATGTTTTGGTGACATAACCTTATGCAAATATTCAAATATTTCCAGATCTGAAAAAAATGTTTATGATAACTCTGTCTATAAAAGTCCAAATATGGTGTCTGCCCTGTCAAGGTTGATTAGATAAACATCAAAAGTCACTAAGTCATAGTAAGAGGAAGTGAACACAAGGAAGATTGTAAGATGGGTGAATACAAAAGAAGAAGAAAGCTGAAAGTGAGGAGAAATGGATACCAGAATTATATTCCTGTAGAATACAAATCCCTCACCCCAGAACACATGATCCTTCTGGTTTTTTTTTTTCACTCCAAGTATAGTCTTCATCTTGGTACTTCCCTCTACTTGATGATTCTTGACTGTCCACTGACTTGTTTACTGATTTAATGCTAATTGTCTAATGTAAAGGACTGAAAAGACAACGAGAGCAGAATTACTTTAGCTTTATGTACTATTGTATGACCCATACCTACATTGGTGTGAGGCACAGCTCGAGGATTGACATTATGTCCAACAAATGACTAGAAAATATTTAGTAACACACACTAAACTATTATGAGTGATTACTCGTGGGGTAAATAAGATGAGAATGGGATATTAAAAGTTTTATTCTAGAGTTCTCGGTCTCTAGAAAATGACACACAACTAATGGAAGAACCACTACTCTTTGTCAATAATAAAAGTGTGAAGTAATTAATACTGGATGACTTATGGAGACCACCCCCATCCCACAGGCTAGTACAATAGAGGCAGCAGAGGCACAATGGATGAAGACATTGAGGCCATTTTGCAGCTGATCTTGTTGACCAGAAACATTTCTGGGGAGCACACCCATAGCCTCTCATTGTGTTCAGTGGAAGCCAAAGGAAATTCTTCCATGTGCTGACGGGACACATCCTAACATATCTAGTTTCTTTGTTGTGTGCTGCATTCATCTCCCAGTCCCTCCCTTCAACTTTGTCACTCAGTGGGACATACTCTTGTTTAAAGCTGAGCAATTACATATTAAAAACAACTACAAAAACAACTAACATAGAACACGTAAAAACTCAGACTACACAGATAAGGATGATAGGAATGGACTGATGGGATCAAGAAGAAAAGGGATGGCATGAGGGCAGTGATGAAAAACGTGTGTCAGAGACATGAAGGTATTTGTTAACTCTTCCTGTAAATTCAACCCAGTTCTTCTGTTACCCGTCAGCCACCTTTGTCCTCTCTGCCCTCAAATGTTTGTTATCCTGCCTTTCTTGGGGGATTTGCCCTTGCTCTTCCATCTGCCTGAAATGGCCTTCACTTAGATATTTCCATTTTAAATTCTTTCTCATTCTTTGTGTCTTAAATGACACAACTCCTGATGACCTTATCCAAAGAAGTGTTTCCTGTTATATTTATCTCCTCATTATCTTCTCTATTTAGTCTTTTCCTCCCCTTGAAATATAAATTCATACAAAGAAGGACCAGGTTATGTGTTATTTTTTAATTTTTGAGACAGAGTTTCTCTGTGTAGCTTCATAGACCAGGCTGACCTCAAACTCACTGAAATCCAACTGCCTCTGCTTCCCTAATGTTGGGATTAAAGGGGTGCACCACTACTGTTTTACTAAAAAAATCTGAGATAGGATCTTTCTATGTGGTCCTGCTTCACCTGAAACTCACCATGTAAACCAGAACTCACATAGACCTGCCTGCCTCTGTCTCCTGAGTCCTGGAATTAAAGGTCTATAATACCATTCCCAGAAATTTTCAATTTTTTATCATGTAATAGATTAACAATAGTTTTGACATGTTTCAAGATTATGGTGTTTAAATATCTACTTTAGATAAGATTTTTTATATATATTAAAACCAGAACTAGTTACAGTATGCTCTCAGAAATAAATACAGGGCCAAGACCTTACCCTCTAACTGCTTAATTTACAAGGGTAGTTGCTCCATGCTGGTCATATGTGAGAGAGGCAGGGAGGCATGTTTTAAGAGCTATCTTATATTCTGCAAGGTAGCCTGGCAAACTGATAATTATAGGAAATTGATGCTACAGTCTTGAATCTGGAAGTCAATCCAATTCAAAATTTTCTCTTTAAGGTAACCACATCATTTTCTTTAAGGTCTTCAACTGATTTGATGAGGACTATCCATATTTTGAAGGGTCATTTATTTGCTCCATCTTCCCATGTTAAAAAAACAAACCTTCATAGAAACATTTAGATCATCATTTAAATACACAACTAAGCATCACACCCCCCACCACTGTCTTACCAATTGAGCCACTAGAGAAGTATCTGTTGCTGTTCCAAGATTTGTTGTTTCTATATAGAATGATGTATCCCATGCTTCTGTCTTTTGACATATTACTCTATTCCATAATAAATATAGGTCATTCTTTTTCCCTGAAATCACGTTCTCTTTCTCAACGAAAACATATGCATAATAACTACAAATCACCATACTTCCGAGTAACACACCCCAGTGATGATGATTATGTCTTCACACTGATTTTGTCTTGTCTAGCTGTCTGTCTTGGGAAGTTTGTGAATTTAGAATATACAGCCTTCAAATCCTCAACACAAATTTGCGGTGGAAAACTGGGCAATGATCGCCACCCACCTGGCATTCTGTTTCAGTCAGATGACAAGAACAGGGAAAGGAGAATGCGAGGAGCATGGTGACATCACAGCATTACACCACAATGGCCCCTGTTCCACCTGCCCTGCTCTGTAGTTTTAGATGATCACTGCATAAGAGATAATAGAAATGGCATAATCTTTAAGTAATGAAAATTTCAAGGCATGCATTATAATATTATGCTAAAATGGGCTAAAGAAACTAACTTGAAATGGGCAAAAGAGTCATAAAAAATGTTTACATTGAATTACGGTGTCGGTGGTCTAGTGTTAAATCAGACTCATTCAAACATAAGAAGCAAAAGAAACTTAAAAAAATCACAAAGTGAGTATTAATCAGTATGAATATTCAACTGTATGTCTTTTGTCTTATGTGTACACATAGTTTTGTAACTCCAGCACTTAAGTAGTGTTTATTTTTACTCAGGTGTTTCATAAATGCATTTGTACTTATGTAATATCATGAAGCTAAATATTGTATGTATGTATAGAAGGGAGCAACACACAGGGGGGTCAATTTAAAGAATCATATTGATTTACAGAACACAAAGGTCAAAGACAGTGTGCCAAGGATATCTGGGTTATTGATCTGGTACACTTTCAAGGAAATGATCAATGGACAGGACAAGTTAGTTTGTGTTCTGTAGACAGAGTAGACTGGTGTGTGTAGCTGAGTTTTTATCAACTGGGAAATATTTCCTTTATTATTTCCAGTTCAATTGTTAGGAAGTTCTCAGTTATAGACTCTGACAGGCCTACAGGCAGGATGTTCCCTGAGCACCCTTCTCTATGACAGCTATGGCCTCTTAGCAACCAGTCCACATTACTTCCCAGAAGTTAATTTGTGCTGTCTCCATAAAACTCTGTTGATGTCCTTGGCTGACAGTTCTCTATGTTGCTTTGGCTTTGAAGAGACAAGATTTCATCTGGAGCTGGCCCAGGCTGGCCGCAAATTTGCCATCAGGAGTCTCCCAAGTGCTGGGACACTTGGGTCTAAACTCATGAAATCTTCACCCTCATGTTAACAAGAGCTCTTGACTGGCAGTGTTCTTCCCTCTTAGAGAGGCTAGTCTCCTGAAATTAACTTTCCACATAGCCCTTGGCATCCATGCACACCATCTCTGTGTGTTCAAACAACTAGGTATTGAAAGTGTTCAGGAAAAGAAATGGCATCTGGACTGAATGAGTAGTCATTCTTCCCTAAATAACACAGTATGACAGATATATATACATACATATATATATACATATATATATATGTGTGTGTGTATGTATGTGTGTATATATATGCATATATATACATATATGTGTGGAATATACATTTTATTGGGAATTAAATGAAATGGAGAACTTATTTAAGGTAATCATGATTAAACTCATAGGTTACATGCAAATAACCTGATATTTTATAAATGGGACTTGAACATGTAAGAATCCCTAAGACAAGAGAGCATCCTTAATTCCCCATGAATACTAAGAGACAACTCCAACCATTTATTTTGATTTTAAAAATTATTACTGCTTTTATGAATGTGTGTGTGTGTGTGAATGCTGCAATACACACAAGAAGTTCAGTCTCAGCACAGTTTTCAGGAATCTCTTCTCATTTCCACATGGGCTCTGGGGAGTTAAGTCAGGTCTTCAAGTCCTTTGTGGGCTGAGCCATCTCACTGGCCTTGTTTCTTTCTTCCCTTATATATTTTTTTCTGTCTTAAAGTCTGTACTGATATTGTTAGAAAGAATATTTTAGAATCATTTTAGAATTCCTAAGTTATTTCATTAATTTAGAAAAACTAATTCATTGAAATTGCACATATGAATGACTTTTGGAACCATCAAAAAATTCAAATAGCAATTGCTATCTGTACTACATAGAAAAATTAAATAAGAGTTTTTACTTTCTTCCTGAACAACTTGCTTCCTCAATAGCACACACTTATTTATGAATTTGTCTTCCATCTTTTTTTTAATCACTGTTAGAATGGCATATAAGAGATTGATAACCGATACTTAACCACTGCTAACACTGTTATTCAATATTTGGGAAGCAGCAGATGCTGACATGTCTCATTTGTTGCCCCCAGCAAAGGATCAGCTTGCAAACTTAAAAGCTTTCTAAATGTTAACTCAATTTTAATAAATAGTTCATATTAAGGAATAATTAGGAATGGTATGCTGTTAGTAAAAGAAATGAAAAAAACATTGCAGTGTTTGTTTCTTTGTTAGTCTTTGTTTGCCTTTCCCAGTGTTTACCTATGCATGTGTTTGTAGAAGACTTCTGGACACTGAAGATGAGCTCAGTGACATCCAGACCGACTCAGTTCCATCAGAAGTCCGGGATTGGTTGGCTTCTACCTTCACACGGAAAATGGGGATGATGAAAAAGAAACCTGAGGAAAAGCCAAAGTTTCGAAGCATTGTCCATGCTGTTCAGGCTGGAATTTTTGTGGAAAGGTAAGCAGCATGGTTTGCATCCCAAGAAAAAGGAATCTGAAAGTCAGCAAGCATGCCTAGTCCATCAAAGCTCTAAGGGTCCATAGTCAGCCTGTGGAGGACACTCAACCATCACCAGTCTAACTAGATGGTCAGCTTGAACTTGTGATGACTATGAGCACAACAAAATCACCTTGTCTTGGATGTTTTCTTTTTATTTCTACTAGTCTGGCAGGAAGACTGAAATCATACCCCTTTGGAAACATACCTTATAGAAAACTTTATAAATAATCCAAATATCTTCAGTTATCCATTTTATATAAACATATTACAATAGCTCATAGAATAAATTCTACTTTGGAGGACTTAGGCTTCAGCATTTGTGTTACTGAAAGAAGATCCTGACACTATTGGAGGTCACCAGAGTTTCCAGCATATACACATATTTAGATCGCCAAGTTGCACATGCATTGTTATTTTAGTCTTTAGGAGAAAAGCTTCTTTTCTTTCCATAAAATGAGATGTTTCAGAATTACTAAGTATAAATATGTCTGACAAGACTGAGATGCATTTATCAGGATTTCCTCAGGTTAAAAAGGAATGTATTTAAATATATGTAAAAAAACAATTTTAATATTTTGAAACTGACCAGATTGAAGGACAGATTATATTGTTACATATCAGGGCACTGCTTTTGATATAGTGACTGAGGAGGTCAGGCTGGCCCTGAATTTTTAATTCTCCTTCCTCAAGTTTCTGGAGATATAGGACTACAGGCTTATGTCACCATGCTCAGCTCCAGCACCCTTTACATTTAAGTGAATTCTGCTCATTTTTTTCATCTTTCCATATTTTGGAGCATCGTTTCCAACCAATAGAACAATGGAAAGAATATTGGATTTTCAAAATGTAAGTGAGAAGGTACAACAAGAGTGCTATTGCAAATTCAGTTTAAAGACATGTTAGTACCATGATGATAATACTTCCAATAGCTTGTTTCATGAGGATATAACCCAAAAGCACATCTAGTGAGTTATTATTCAAATCACTTTATTAGCTTCTCAGCTATATCTGATTGGATTAGATAAAAGATATTCTGGTTAGTGAGAGGGTACCACCTTGTCTAGTATCTAGACTTATTCTAACAGAAATCTGCAGCAAGGGGGCTGGGTTGAGGAGAGCATCCTTTTGTATGAGTATTGTTGATTTCCCATGGCATCAAATTAAAAACATCTAAGTAGTGTTTCAGAGAGTCTCAGATGAATGCTTGTTGAGGGAATGTATATTCCTTGTTAAAAATACTGCAAACCTTGGCAAGCTAAAAACCAATGCAAACTGTGGGTGAGATCCAACTGAACGTGCATCCATTTGAGACAAGGTTATGAATTCAGGATTCATGTATTGGCCTGGCAAGTTTCTATTATTTCATAGTTAATGCAATACAAATTAAACCTCCTTTCCAAATAGAAATATCAAAATTTTGTGCAGAAGATAACTAATACGAAATTTAAGTGTTTGCAAATTATCATGCTTAGAGTGCTTAGAAACAAAATCTTTATCTATCAATACCACACCCCCTTTATTGATATTAATTAATCCTGAATTTACAAAAGTAATTACCTTTAATCCTGGAAATATAAGTCTTGTTGCTTTCCCCACAAAGCCTCCCTCCCAAGACTCAACACCTTAGAAGGTCCTGGCACTTATTTGCCCAAATGCTATCTGGGGTAGTGATGAGAGCAAGATGGCTTCTTTTTGTTTCTTTTAAGGTTTGGAATAGCATTTCATAATTTTAGATAAGTCTTCAAAACTAATCACCTATAATTTCACTTGGACTTTACTACCTACTGGATTCCAGGAAATTCATTAGTCTTTTTCACCTGGTTAATGAGACAGAAGGCAGCTGCAAGAAGACACCTGCATTCACTCTCAGTTTTGGAACAGTTATGTTAATTTTCCTTTTTAATTTGAATAACAAAATTTGTAATTTTATATTTCTTTCCCTAATGACCAGATGAGGAAGGATAAATTAATACAGAATTTTTAAGATTACTTTAAGATGGCAATCCTTGCCTCTTTTCATTCCATATAATAAGTAATACTCAGGTTGACAGCCTATTTCCCAGTCTAGGAAACTCTGTGGTTTCAGAGAATCCACTGGGTCCGGGGAGCTCTGGTTTATGTGAGAGTTGATTCCAGGATTGTCTGGGATATAATGGAGGTAGTTGTAGTAATAGTGGTGACTATTTAATTCAGTTGAGTATTTATTAGATTGTACCCAGCATTTACTTCTTTACTTTTCTCAGAAAGATTGTGATTCTCCTTTTATGAGTGAACTATTAAAGATTGTTCCAAATGCCACATGGCTACCAAGTGGCTAATTTAGGATTCAAAGCATAGGCCCTCTGTGCATGCCCAGGCTCCCTTTGCTCCTGTGCCAGAAAATCACACTGATTTGTTAATGCTTGCAGGGTCCTTACTAGCATTTGTATTGATTACTTTCCTGTTCATTGCTCCTTCTCATCTCAACCCTCCTTTCTTTATGATAATTATAGAAAGAATAGCTAGATAAAGATTGTTTCCTCAGAATCCACAACTCCATCTCTTTATTAACAGTAAATATTTTCTGGATATTTTGTGATTACCACTGTCCTTGCTTGGCAGGATTGGAGTAATTATATTTATCTCTATGGGATGCTAATAAAAGCCTTCTTATTGTGAACTCTCCAGAGGTCTTTCAATAAAGAAGTTTGTTGCTATACTGATCACCCACATCTTAATACATCACAATAACTTAAAGTAAACATGAAATCAAAACAGAAAAGTAAAGTGCCAGAGTTTCTGTGATGAAATGGGAGATGGTCTTTCAAGAAAGAGCAGGCTAAACACATAATTAAGTATATGTTCAATTCTGAGCTCCTACGAATTTAATATTTAAAAGAAAAACATGATGAATTACTTGGGTTTTTTTACAGCAATGTCTTTTCTGGATTTTTAATTCATAGACCACTGATTCAAAAATATTTTTATGTTTCAACAGTGATTTTTATTTTTAAAATTGCAAAATATTTTAAGCTTGACTATTTCTTTCCTTCCTTCCTTCCTTCCTTCCTTCCTTTTCTTTCTTTTCTTTTTTCCAAGACAGAGTTTCTCTGTGTAGCCCTTGCTGTCCTGGAACTCCTTTTGTAGACCAAGCTGTTCTTAAACTTAGTGATCTGCCTGCCTCTGCCTCCTGAATGCTGGGATTAAAATCATGTGCCATACTACCTAGCTTTCCCTTGGCTATTTCTAATATTAGCCACATCTGTCATATTTAATCAAATTATAGTGTTCCCTTATATTCCAAGGGTGGGGGATGTCATAGCAATGTATTCTAAGGAATACAGTTTGCTATGTACCATTTAGATATAAAAAGCAAGAGACAGTTGATACTTGAAACCATGTCTTTCCAGAACCTTGGTGTAGCCACAAACCTGTCACATTCCCAATAGAGGCTGATTGCTTGCTTTTATCTATATTAGGGTCTTCTTGACTAGTCTCTACCTGATATGTGATTTTCATCAGTTGAGCTTTTTATCCTATCAGAAACAAACCAGTTACAATAAGAGTATACTGCTGTTGTATTTTTATGGACCTGGGGAGAGCATTTTCTCAGGAAAATCTTTCTTACATAATATTGGACAGAAACTTGAAGTCTTGAGTTATCTTTGTCAATATAACCTTTTATAATATCCTTAACAAAGACCTGTATAAATTCTGATGGTGCTGTTTCCCTCTGCAGCCATTCTGAGACAGATAAATACAAATAAATAAATCTAAATTGGAAGCATGTTCATGCTACTCAGCTTCCATCTAAAACTTTTGGTACACAAATGGACATAAAGCAACAATGTTCTGCTGCCACAGACAGGGTGGCCTGTGGATAGTGTCACAGGACAGGGAGAGTACAGTTGACCTATTAATTGAATGAAGTTCAGGAAAAACTGTCTTTTCTTGGAAACTAAGATCATTTCTCAGAGTCACGATGAGTAGATAATGCTATACCCCCTGTCACCCAAAGAAACAATGGCTGTTATTATCACCTTTGTCACAGTGGGGTTACAAAGTGCAGAACTCTAGAGTTGTGTTTACCTGATAGTTGAGAGCATAGCTAAAAGTGTTGAGCATTAACTATGCAATTATTCTGTCTTTTTTTAGGATGTACAGGAAGAGTTATCACATGGTTGGTTTGTCATACCCTGCAGCTGTCATAGTGACACTCAAGGTGAAATAATTCCAGTTGTTTTCCTTTGTAAAATAATCACATGCATTTCTGTTTCCTCAAGTGGCTGGGAGAATAATAAGAGCAGGTCTTTGTTGCAATCTACATATTACAATATAAAAATTATTTTAAGCATTTGTTAAATGGAAAGCTACCCAAGCCTTGACTCACCCTAGAGTTATGACATCTATGTGGCTTGTGCTAACAATCAGTAACTATCAACACCCTTCTTGACTCTTGAATTCCACTTGGAGATGGCATCATTTTGAGAACACACACATCTTCTTACATTTATATTATGTTTTAAGAAGGTATTTCAGTGTGTGTTTAGTAACAAAACATAAAGAAGAAATTTATTCAAGATCTTAAGTCTGAGAAAGTATAAAATTGATAAAGAAACTAACCAGCAACAACCAAAATTTTCAGTCTTGTGTCTGGCTCCTCTTGAGACTCCCTGGTTCATGCCCCATGCGTGATTGCAGTGTTGTGTGTGCAAGGAAATGACTGCAAGTGAGAGTCTGTCTCGGAAAGCCACTGAGTCACACATCTCCATCTTACACATGGGGCATGTGACACACAGGTGTGCCATGCTCACACATCTCCATCTTACACATGGGGCATGTGACACATGGGTGTGCCTTGCTCACAACCGATTGTTCTGCAGGAAAGTCTTATAGGCTGTTCATTCTAAAGTCCTTTTTTTTCCTGTCTCTTAATGGTTTCGAGGACTCAACTTTGTCTCCTAAAACAACCTTTGGTGATTTTCTTATTTTAATCATGAGAGTGTGTCTTTTGTTAACCCTGGTAAGTTTGAGGAGAAAAGACTGAATGCATGGTTATTCAATTGAAGCAAGCACCAGGAACTGGCTGTCTCTCTCCTAGTCAGGTTGTCAAATATCTAACTACTTGAGGTCCCTTTTATAGAAGAGACTGTTTACTGGGGTGAGAAAATTAGAAAGATACAATGAAAAGGAAGGAAGAAGGGTAGGCTATGCATCACGGAAATGGGGTCACAAGTTTAGTGTAGGTTGAGAACATGCTTTGCAGTTTATATCAGATCTAAGAAACAGGAAATTATTCTTTTTTTTTGTTTTTTTATGAGACAGGGTTTCTCTGTATTGTTTTGGAGGCTATTGGTCCAGCCCGGCCTCAAACTCACAGAGATCCACCTGCCTCTGCCTCCTGAGTGCTGGGATTAAAGGCGTGCGCCACCACCGCCCAGCAGAACTTATTCTTAATTACAAATAGAAACCTTAATTTGCAAGGACTTAACCCAGGACAAGCATTACCTTATTCTTTAACTACAAACAAAAACTTTAACCTGCAATTTAATGGTGTTCCTGTATTGGTATTACATTTTCTTTCTGGTTTTTAAATTTTTTTCTGTTTTCTTTCTTTTTCTTTTTCTTTTTTTCTTTCTTTTTTTTCTTTCTTTCTTTCTTTTTTTTTTTTGGTTTTTCGAGACAGAGTTTCTCTGTGTCTTTGGATGCTGTCCTGGAACTTGCTCTGTAGACCAGGTTGGTCTCAAACTCACAGAGATTTGCTGCCTCTGCCTCCCGAGTACTGGGATTAAAGGCGTGTGCCTCCAACGCCTGGCCTCATGATGTTTTTTCATATATTTATGTTTCCTAAAGTACAATAAAGACAAGAATGTAACTTTAGTGTCACATTAATATGTTAACTGCTATGTTTTAGAAATATCTTTGCCATCTGTATTATTTTTTCAACTGTATACAACAAAACTTTTTGTTATTGTTGTTCATTTTTAAATTATTTGCATAAATACAACTAAAATATTTTGGTATGTGAACACAAGGTTTTTCACAATGCAGTTGATTGAAATCATATGAAGTGTAAGGTTGAGGAGTAAGCATCACTGAGTAAAGAGGATTTTTTGTGAATGTTCTGAAAATCTCCCATGCCAGTCTGACAGCATGGGTGCTAAATGTCTGCTGTAGGTGACACGAGTAAATCACTGCCTGGAAAGCCTCCCTTTCCCCCCACCCCTGTCTTCCTAGCGGGGACCCTTAGGCCAACCTCTAACCAGAAGCCTTGAAGGTATGAACCAGTATTTCCTTGTTAGCTTTGGAATTTGATAAAAGATTTATTGACCTCCTTTGAGCTTTAGTGATGCTAAAACTCCTTCTAACAAGAATTTTAGATTTTTAATTTACAAAGAGATGAAAGTCAGTGCTTAGGATCATATTGGTTCCAATAGCAATATTGATATAAAGGGAAGAAACTATGAATGGAAATGACACACATACAAAATTAATCACTGCTTTAAGTTGTCCTCTTACTGTCTAACACTGAGTCTGCCAGTGTGTGTGTGTGTGTGTGTGTGTGTGTGCGCCTGCCCACATGTGCATTAGTGCGTGCATGAACACATGTATGCATTCACCAGGTGTTCTTTACTGACAGTCAGAATCTACTTCAGAACAGAATAATGTATTCTTTAAAGTTTTTTTCAGCAAAACTATGTGGTGACTGTGGTGGCCAGTTAGACCTATTTTCTGCTCCCAACACTACTGAAGGGATACATACCCAGTGTTACCTGCTCCCCTATAAACTTGCCTACATCCCCCACTAAAGTGTATGAGATGGCAAAGCTACTGACCCCTTTCTCCACCAAATGATCCTCTCCTTGTTCTCACTGTCTCTGGAGGAACCTATGAGTGAGCCTCAGTTATATGAGGGAGGTTAAGGGAATGCTTCCCACTGGAACTTGCATCCCAAATGAAGACAGATAGTATCAGTGCTAAATTTAAGCCAACTTACTGATTCTTTATGCTGAAATACCAAGCAAAGAAGCAGGTGGGTGAATGAATGGAAACAAAGACCAGGACTATTTTCCCTGTATCCCTCAATTGACATCACCCATAAACCAGCTCTCCTGCCTTAAAATGGAGCCATTCTAGGAAATGATTTATGGCAGGAAGTCAGAGAGAGCAAAGATGAAGGCTGCATTAGACTGTTCCCAAGTTTATTACATCAGCTTCATAACCCTGGGACTTGAGGGAAAGCCTTGATGCTTTATTATCCATGTGAGCCTCACTCCTGAAGCCCTGTCGAATCAGACTCCAGTAGAATGTAGTTTGACATGTTCAATTGCAATGTTACCTATTGTATGTTCAATGCTTAATTTTTAAATAATTTTTCATGAGAAGCTGCATAATTATATACTATTGCCATCTAAAATATTGACTCTTTTTTTTCTACAGGATGTTGATAAATGGTCTTTTGATGTATTTGCCTTAAATGAAGCAAGTGGGGAGCATAGTCTCAAGTTTATGATTTATGAGCTGTTTACCAGATATGATCTTATCAACCGCTTCAAGGTCAGAAACTTCAACTGTGAGATGCTCACAGAGCTGGTTATTTGAATAACGACAGCACAACACACCAAGTTGTTGATCAATTCCTTTAGATTGACCTAACTGGTCACAGGTTAGGAGTCTGTGCTCTCCCTCTGATGAAACCACAACTCACTGCATGTCTGTGCATCATGAGACTGGAAAGTTTAACCCAACAGGAACCCCCTGAATTATTCACAGAATCCTATCAGGACAGAAACTATGTTTTAAAGAAGTGCAGTAGATTCTAGGTTCCTTATACTACACTTTATTTACATAGTCCAAGGTAGTCTTGAAATTGCTATGTAGCACAGGTTAGTTTCGAACACTCATTCTTCTTGATTCACCACAGGGGCTAACTTACTGGAAGCTTTTCTCAGACTAAAAAGATGTGTCTTCCAATCTGTTTCATGTAGAAGCATCTAAACAACAGATTTGATTCAGATTTCTGGGTAGTTTGAGGCTCATAACATTGGAAGGACTGGAAAGAACTGGGAAGTCACCAAATTTCTCCATAAGTTAGGAGAACTAGACCTTGTGGCTAATATTTGGGCATTTTATACTTTGAAGAACTAGCCTTTTTACTTGACTGTGGAAGATATAAAAACTCAGAGCCACATGATGTAAGCTATTTCATTTGTGCTATAGTCCTTCAAATTGCAGACTAATGTGTCATTAACATGGTTTTTGAAGACTAATCACACAGAACTTGAAATTAGTGTCCATTTTTTACTATTAATTTGTTCCATTTCTAAATAATGTGCTTATGTTTATATAGCATAACAATTTAAGTAAAAATATAATCATAAGTATTACTTTCCACAGATTCCTGTTTCTTGCCTAATTGCTTTTGCAGAAGCTTTAGAAGTTGGGTACAGCAAGCACAGAAATCCATATCATAATTTGGTTCATGCAGCTGATGTCACTCAAACTGTGCATTACATAATGCTTCATACAGGTATCATGGTAAGAGACCCTTTATAAATGAAGTGTGTTTGCATAGAAATAAAACATTATTCTCTTTCGTTCCTCTTGTCTATAGTGCTGTGGACAAATATTTGTACAACACCATATGTATGATTAGCATACATGTAATAATCACTGGGATTTTACAAATTAGTTATACATTTTTGAGTAAACATTTTAATTCTCTAGAAGAAAACATATTTAAAGGTCAATTAGAATATGTTTAATAGTTTTCTAAAATTTGAACTGTAGAACATTCTTTTTTTCTTTTTTGTTTGTACTTTTTTTCTTTTATTGAAAATAGATTTTTAAACTGCTTTCCACAGTGGCTTGATTATTACTACTGACTGATCATCTTGGGACAAGCCAAACAGGGAGGATATTAACTGGTTGATCATGTAGATGGTTCTAGCACCAGAGAGAAAGTTTGTCTAGCCCAACCAGGCATTGTCAGAGTTGGTATACAGTAGGTGAGCAAATGAAGTGCTATGGGTAATTATTATAACTATGGCCTCCAAGGGCTGCTCATCTCTTAGCTTTCTCTTTTATTTGATCAGTGATAGTCATGTATGGATGGTTAGAGATTCTTTCTTCTCTCTCTTCCATTTATTTATATGGCCAAGAGATTGGGAGATTTTTATGAGACTCGGATTTCTCCATTATCTGTATATGAAAATAAAGATCTTATAAGATAGAATATAGATTTTTTTCTCACATAATATATCTTAATTATGGCTCCCCCCCAACTCTTCTCAGTTCCTTCCCACCTTATTATAGCCCAAATGGATCCATACCCTTTCTGTTTCTCATTTAAAAACAAACAGGCTTCTAAAGGTAATAATAAAATAAAAAGTATGATAAAACAAAACTAATACATTGGAAAAGGACAATACAGCCATACAGTTGGAATGCCCAAGAAAAGGTACAAGAAATAGATGCCGATTCAGAGACCCTTTAATTTGTACACTTGGAAATCCATAATAACACTTAACATAATATGTATACAAAGGACCTGAAGGATAGAAAAAAGAGAAAAATTACATATAAATAAGATAAAAAAACTTTTAAAAATAACAATGAATAAAGCCCTGACATGACATTATGAGACAAGAAACCTCCAAAGGTACATTTTCTGTTGGCCATCTACTGCTGGCCATGCAGTCTGCTATCCTTAAGAGCAGTTGTTTCTGCATTCCTTCTGTGTAAAGTCTTTATTCCTACAGGAATCAACTGAAATAAAATAATTGACCTAGAGGAAAAGTCTTCAGAATGTGTTAAGGGTAAATACTCTTTCCTTGACCACTTCTAGCTCCCCTAAATTCAGGTCTTTTCCTTTGGTATTTGCAATGCTAATCACAGACACACCCTTCCATGGTGTTAGGGGAATTATTTATGTGACCTCTTCTGGACATTCTTTTCTGTGTTTTCCACCTGAATTAATGAATGAATGAACAAGAAATTCAACAAAGCAAATATTATTAGCATTACGGTAATGGAGGATGGTGAGAGGGCTAGGAATTTCTGTAGTGTCTTCCAGCCCAGAATGACACCCAGAAGGAGAAAAGGAAGTACCTACTAAGGTGGACAGTGAGGAGTACAGGCCACATGCCATCCTCATGTCCTGTGCCTTCACCATTTCTCATGAGCCAACCTAGATTACATAATGCCATTAATTTCTGCAAGCTGCATTTATTTGAGCTAAATAATTAAGGTTACAATTCTCAGAGTTGAAAGCCAACATATCAGGAATGTGGTTTCTCAGAACTACCCCATTCTACTGTCCACATGGGACCCATCAGCTACCCTCAATTAGCCTCCTCACTCTGCATCAGTTAGGGTTAGGGTTCCAAGAAAATCCCCTGGGACTTTAGTATAGAGTCCTAAAGAGCTTGGCAACTTGTAGCTGGTACATGATTTTTCTAAGATTCTGACGCAGTAAATTGTCATCATATTTGCTTTTCTACCCCTCCCCCAAGAATTAATTGTGTTCATTGCTACATATAATATCCATTTGCAAAGGTCCATCATATAGTAAATCACACATTGACGAAATGATTTTTAGTTCTTATTTTACTTTGTCTCTTAAGCTTTCAAAGCCCTGGGCTCAGATCCCTCCCCTGCCCTGCATTCCACATTATCAAAAAAAAAAAAAGAAAAAAAAAAAGAATGTAGCAGCTTAAAACAGCAATGTGTTATTCTCTCCCTAAGAATTGTGGTTAAGAGTTCTAGCCAGGAGACTTTCACTTAAGGTCTCTCGTGTGATTGCAGCCGGCTAGCAACACAATAGCTGGAGACATCTGAGGACAAAGGATGTCATGTCACTTGTGACTGGTAGTAAATATGGCTGGTGGAAGGGACATTTTAAATTTTCAGCACACTGGAGAAATACACACTCTATGACAAAGCAATCATTTCAAAAACTGTCCTAAATGAAGTATTTTTGGAGATTCTTTGTTTCTTTTTCTAATTGTGCATGCATGAAGCATGTAAGTTTTCCCAAATCCTTTTGGTTTAATGAGGCTGCTTTGTCTCAGTTCTTTCTGGAATGTTGTGCTTTCACTTGCTTTAGTGTGCATACCTGTCATATGGAAACAAGGGCCTCCTGACCCTCTGTGGGACACATTGACTTGGGGATCTCCACTTGCCTTTTGATTTCTAAAGCCTCTGCCCTGACTCCAATGGAGAGCTGATTTTTCTTTCAAATGTTTGGCATTCCTTCTTTCCTGAATTTAGTCGTTTTAAAAAGTTAACTGAAACAACAGAAAAGATAGATTTATTTATTTATTTTTGTTTTTTTTGGTTTTGTTTTTTTTGAGACAGGGTTTCTCTGTGGCTTTGGAGGCTGTCCTGGAACTCGCTTGGTAGTCCAGGCTGGTCTCGAACTCACAGAGATCCGCCTGCCTCTGCCTCCTGAGTGCTGGGATTAAAGGCGTGCGCCACCAATGCCTGGCCTGATAGATTTATTTAGATCACGCTCTAAAGTGGAAAGTGAACTGGCTAGTTCTCTGAAGAGGGAGTGAAGGTGCAATGCCTGCTTCTGATTCAACAGCTGCTCCGTTGTGAAGCAAACTGAATAAAATATGCCATGTGACAGAATTTCATTATCTTACAGTATTTTTACAATTATGCAGACACATTTTGTTGTTTTCTTTTGTTTACTACAAGGACACAGGGGCCAATAAACATCTCCTTCTTTATCCTGAGGATCTCAAGTCTGAACATTACACTGAAACCATGTGAGGGGTCACATCAGTGGGCAACCAGAGAAATGCCTATCCACCATGTGACTTTACTCTGGGATTTACAGGGAAGATATTGTTGAGTGCATCTTTTTCTGTTGTCTTGAAGCCTGGGGAATCAGAGCCCACATCCCTGCTTCCTTGCAGAATACCAAGAACATGAAGCCATTAGCGCAGGTCAGAGTCTCTCTTGAGAAAGCCACAAGTGCAGATGTAACTTTCTTTCTTTCCATGGAATTGACATGATACCTGGCTTCCAATTTCAGTCATTCATCTACAAAATATCAGTTGGGTCATGCGCTAGTTTGTCCATTACAAAATTATTTTGCTGGTAACTGTAGTTTAGTTTTGAGTAAAATACAGAAAATGCATTTAAGTAAAGCAAATGAAATAACGATTTTTACAATGGAATAGAATTTTTGCAGGTGAAATGAATTCATGAATGTGTTGAGTATTTTGTCAAAATGGGACCACACTGTCACCTTGACAGTTTTGGGAAAGTAGCTTTAATAAGCTTTCTTCTGTGGTGCTAGGTGAATGCTAATTTTCATACAGATGCACATTTCAGTCTTTGAAACAAAAATGCATCAGAGAAATGCCAGCTGAACCTCTTTAAGTCTTTTCTCATCCTTCAGATCTGGTATGGAAAAGACTGGGTCACTCACTCCTTCTAATGTTAGGTTGATTCCCTGCTATTTTGAGTTGGTCCTATCAGAGTGGCATTTTTAGAGCACTCCAGTTCCAGGCCAACACTGTCAGGAGACTAATGCATTTGTCACCTGCACAGTGTTCTGAGCAGAGTAGCCTGAAAGGATTGTGATGAAGCTTCCCGGGGTTTAACATCAGAGGGAAGCCCTCAGTCCTGACAGTTAGCTTAGAGAAAAGCAGGGACTTGATGCCGGCACAGCCACTGTGGGGCTCTTTCTCTCCTCTTGTCCCTTGATTAACTTATAACCTGTTCCATGGTGACAGTGATGTACAGAAAATCCATTTGCTAAAGAGCCATTGCTTTTAGGGCTGATGCCAAGCTACCTCCAACTGTCTCTTTAAATGCAAGGTCATTCTAGGACCTTACCCAGAGCACCTTTATACTTGGTGGCGGGTTCCATCCATTCTCTCTGATGATCTCAGTAGAAGAAAGAGAGGTGGCTTTTTCCTCTGGAATTTGCAATCCACTGACTGCCCAGACACCAACTCCCACACTTTGGGATGACTCCATTTTTCTCTGATCAATCTACAGAAAATGTGGCAGGAAGTCCATGTTCTGTGGTAAAGGCTTTTCTACCAATACTGTTTGAAAGAGCGTGGGCTTAGGAGACTGCTGCCAGCTTTGAAAATATTATCTGCCACTTCTAATGTGCTAGCTCTGTAGTTTGGTCTCCTTGTCACTAAAATAGAGTTAATAATACTGACCATTTCACAGGCTGGTAATGAAGAGCTTTTAAGTCTCGTTATAAAGCACCTGATATTGTACCTTATATAAACAGCAGTTAATACAAGGTATATTATTAGCTTTCATAATGTAATACTTTTCTGTGTTAAATTATAGCAAACTACTCGAGTTTATTTTAAAAAGATGGAGAGAAAAAGTGCCCAACCCTAACACTGTAGGCTACAATAGTTGGTGTCCGTTTAAAATGCTCAAGACCCAATTTCTGATTTGTAATTTTCATCAGCTCAAACATATACTTTATCACACATGTGCACATACATATGCAGCAATTAAAATGTGAATATAGAATTAGAGTCCTATTAGCTTTTACCCATTCAAATATTCAGGTAAGTCTGTTCTACGTTTGAAAGCTTAGAACCACCTATGATCTCTTACACTGCTCCCCACTGCTTTCTTCTTATGCAAAACTGATGAGCTTCAAGTCTACAAGCAGTGGTTTCTGGTAGGTGCCAAAGTCTGCATTTGATTCTGTGAGAGAAACATAGCTCAGTGAGCTCAGAGTCCCCCATTGCTGACTCACAAGCCTTCAGTGGCTCCTGCCTGCTTTTTATATGAAATCTCAGTTCATTGCTTTACTCCAAGTATACCATTGATTGGTTTCATACACTTCATCCTCTTTTCAACCTCATTTCATCTGACACTCAAACCCACAGAATGTGTGTGGATATATGTGCATGTATGCGTATATATGTATGTATATATGTATGTTTATGTGCATGTATGGGTATGGGGGTTTAGGTTATGTGTTTCATATGTATGAAAAATGTCCAAAAGAAAACTCCATCTCACTTTAGAACCCCTTTAACTGTTTAAATTTTTTATTCATTTTATATACCAACCACAGTTCTCCCTTCCTCCCATCCTCCTGATCCCTGCCCCAACCCATTCCCTATCCACTCCTCAGAAAGGGTAAGGCCTCCCATGGGAAGTAAACGAGGTCTGGCACATTCAGTGGAGACAGAACCAAGCCCCTCCTGCCTGCAATTAGGCTGAACAAGTGATCCCATCCTAGGGAATGGTCTCCAAAAAGGCAGCTCATGCATCAGAAATAGATCATGGTCCTACTGCCAGGGGTTCCACAAACAGAGCAGGCTGCACAACTGCTGCCCACGTACAGAGGAACTAGTTCAGTCCCATGCAGGCTCCCCAGCTGTTGTTCTAGAGTCCATGAGCTCTGGCAAGTTCGGATCAGCTGTCTCTGTGGGTTTCCCCCACCATGCTCTTGAGCCCCCTTGTTCATATAATCCATCCTCCCTCTCTTCAACTGGACTTCTGAAGCTCAGCCTGGTGCTTGACTGTGGATCTCTGCATCTGCTTCCATCAGTTACTGAATGAAGGTTCTATAATAACAGTTAGGGTAGTCACCAATCTAATTACAGGGAAGGGCAGTACAGGCACTGTCTCTACTATTGCTAGGAGTCTTGGCTAGGGTCATCCTTGTAGATTACTGGGCATTTCCCTAGCACCAGGTTTCTTCCTAATCCCATAATAGCTCCTTCTATCAAGATATCTCTTTCATTGCTCTCTTACTCCATCCTTCTCCCAACTTAACCATCTTGTTTCCTCATGTTCTCATCCCCCATCCCTTCCCCTTTACAGCCTCCACCCCCAGTCTACCCAGGAGATCTCATCTATTTCTTCTTCCCAAAGCAGTCCATCCATATATGTCCCTCTTAGGGTCCTCCTTGTTACCTAGCTTCTCTTGAGCTGTGCATTGTGATCTGGTTATTCTTTGCTTTACATTTGTATCCACTTAGGAGTAAGTACATACTGTGTTTGTCTTTCTGGGTCTGGGTTGCCTCACTCAGGATGATGTTTTCTAATTCCATCCATTTGCCTGCCAATTTCATGTTACCAGTGTTATCATTGTTTTTTTTTTACAGCTGAGTAAAACTCCATTGTATAAATGCACCACATTTTATTTATTCATTCTTTGGTTGTGGGGCATCTAGGTCGTTTCCAGATTGTGGCTATTACAAATAATGCTGCTATTAACATCATTGAGTCAGAATGGCTAAAATAAAAACACTGATGATAATCTATGTTGGAGAGGATGCAGACTAAGTGAACATTCCTCCACTGCTGGTAGGAGTGAAAACTTGTACAGTCCCTTTGGAAATCAGTATGGCAGTTTCTAATAAAATTGGGAATCAATCTGACTCAAGACCCAACATTCTCCTCTTGGGCATATTCACAAAGGAGAACCCTTTTTCCTAATGCAAGTTCTAACTTCTTGAAGAACTGTCCAAAAGAATATTTCTTGATAGTCTTGTTGTGTCTTAGCTGTTCTATGTGAAATCATTTTCTCAGTGTGATCACTGAACATGTGAAACATATCTACTACAATGGGGCAGTGAATTTAATTCTATTATGCTTTATTAATTTTTAGTTGTCACCTGCGTTAATCTGTTATACAGCATGTGAGTGATGAACAATGTATTGAATTACTCTATAAGCTATAGTAGTAGATAAATGGTATCAGACACTGGTAAAATAAAAGTCAATGTATTAGAAATAGAAAGACCTATATTTTACAAGGAAACAATTATTCTTTCCTTTTTCATTATCAAGTTTCATGGAATGGTAATGAATTTGGTAAATTTTCAGAAACTTTTCCACATCCTTAAATATAAAAACAAAATTCAGTTTCTCTCTTGATAAGAATAAGTACTTTCAGTTTTAAATGGAAATTTGTTTTCATGGGGTCATTAAAATATGCATTTTAATGAAGGTGAACTCTATGTTAAGAGACCACTATATTATAATTTATGTCATAAGACCCCAAACTAGTAAAGGTGTAATTTCAAAATCCATTTGGAGTCAACCTTTCAAACAATAGAAAACAACTCCTTTTCTAAAAAGTAAGGGTGATCACATTTTGGATTTTAAGTTTTAAACTTACAAAGCATGAAACAATCATTGATTTCATGAAGCACCCATTATTCATAAATAATTGAGGGAAAGGGGAAAACACATGAAAGAAATATAACATTGTTTTATGACTTTGCATTTAGTGTTATGACTGAGCACACTAAAGACTTTCCCATAAAAAGAAACGATGATAAAGATGTTGAATGTGATGAGACGTTTCCTTCCTTTGTTAGCACTGGCTCACTGAACTGGAAATTTTAGCAATGGTTTTTGCAGCTGCCATTCATGATTATGAACACACAGGAACAACAAACAACTTCCATATTCAGACGAGGTAAGTGCAACGATGTCTTAACTTTAGCAAGCTAAAATTTCAAATTTATTTTTCTCAAAAAGAGAGGGCATAGAAGGTGACCATGGTCAAAGTATATCTCTTTATGAAACCCATTACTATGAACAATGACTATATCCCAATTAAAATTATTTGTGCATTTTATTTATCCTTTTTTAAATTTAATTTAAATTAAAAACAATCTTATTTTACATACCAATACCAGTTTCCGCTCAGTCCCCCCATGAACTCCATATCCCACCCCTATTCACTCCTCAGGGAGGGTGAAGCCTCTCTCATGGGGGATCATCAAAGTCTGCCACATCATTTGGGGCAGGACCTAGGCCCTTCCCCATGTATCTAGACTAAGAGAGGATCCTCCACAGTGAAAGGACTCCCAAAGCCCATTCATGCACTAGTGAATATTAGTTCCACTGCCAGAGGCCCCACAGACTTCCCAGACTCCCCAACTTACACCCAGGTTCAGGAGGTATAATGTGGTCTTAAGCTGGTTCCCCAACTGTCAGACCATTATCCGTGAGCTTCCACTTGCTCAGGTCAGCTGTTTCTTCATTTCTTGCTCATCACTCCTTCATCTCTACAACTGTCTTTGAAATTGAGCTGCATTTCTTGTATTTGTATCCATTCTGTTAGCCTGTGTCTTTTTATAGGTGGGTTAAGACCATTGAGATTGAGGGATATTAATGACCATTGATGGTTGATTCTTGTTATTTTTGGATTTGTTTTTTGGTAGTGGTATTGTGTGTGTGTGTGTGTCTGTGTGTGTGTGTGTGTGTGTGTGTGTGTGTGTGTGTGTGTGTTTGCCTTTTGGTAATTTGCGATCGTCTATTGTCTGTTTTTGTGAGTGTAACTGAGTTCCTTGGGTTGGAGTTTTTCTTCCAGTACTTTCTGTAGGGCTGGATTTGTGGATATGTATTGTTTAAATATGGTTTTATCATGGAATATCTTGTTTTCTCCATATATAGTGGTTGAAATCTTTACTGGTTATAGTAGTCTGGGCTGGCATTAGTGATCTCTTGTGTTTTTATTTATTCTTAAGAGAAGATGTGTAGAAAATGCAGATTTTACTAAGAATGGATTTAATGATTTTAGCAACACTTCTTAAGCTTTAATAACTAAAATAAATCTACTACTGTTTTTCAAAACCCACACATTTTGCCTGAATACTTAACAGCTTAAGACATGTAGATGTCTATAAGATAAATTCCTTCTGCCAAGGCTTAGCCTGAGCAGTCACATAAGTTTGACATTTATTCACTGAGGCACTTCATGTAACACACTGTCTAAGGCATTGTTTTATGTCATTATGTATATTAGAAGGCATAAAATTTTATTTATTAAATAATAAAGATATTGAAGAAATCTCATTCCAGGGCAGTATGAAGTATTTAATATGATTGAAAAATAAGATGCTTTAATTATGTCTATAATGGAAGTTATCAAAACAAAGTACTAGAGTAGACATGTATTATAATATCCTCTAAGGTTTCTATAATAAAAATACCACCAAATGTGTGGTTCAAAGTCATACAATTCCTTCCTTACAGTACAGTCTACAATTAAGGTATCAGTGGCATGTTTTCTTCTGGGTCTTCTCCCTGGATTGCAGACAGAAACCTCCTTGTGTCTAATCTCTCTGCATATACTTTTCTGGTGCTCCTTCTTCCTCATATGAGGGCACCATTCATATGAGGTTTGGTTCTCTCAGTTACATAACCTTATTTAACTTCATTTATATCCATAATAGACCTATATCCAAATATAGTCACGGTGAGCATTAGAACTTCAACATATGAATCCAGTGGAGTGGAGGGCAGAATCCAGTCTGTAAAACAAAGGTACCCTAAGCTCCTTTTAGTTAAATGGAGACATCAGTTCCTGAGAGGTAGAATATAGTCCAGGACAAATCAGGATGCAACTCACTTTCTATATGTGGAATCCTAATATTTCTGTGTTTGATTAGCCATGATTGCTTAACAAGGAAACAACACTTGCGTCTCTCTGGAAACTATAGAACAGCTCTTTTGAGAGAACGCTTAATCTTGACTTTTTAAAAAGGCTTTATTGGCACTGGGTGGTTTTTCTAATCCTAGTACTTGCATTCAGGAGGCAGAAGCAGGTGGCTCTCTGAGTTTGAGGCCAGCCTGGGATACACAGAGAAACCATGTCTCAAAAAAAGCGAACTAACAAAAAATGCTTTATTGGTATATGTCAATCACATATCAATGAGTTTCATTATAGCATCTTCATACATGCATATAATACTTTTAATTAAATTTGCCCCTTCTCTTGTGTATCTCTCATGCTTCCCAATATCTATGCTCCTCCCATTAAGTACCACTTCTGTTTTATGTTCTTTTGTTTAAGTGTCTGTGGCCTGATGAGTTTCAAAACAGTTCATATAGGAGCATGGCTGAAGGGTTGTTTAGAGGGGCATGGACACTTTACCAGTGAGTACATCTCTGAGTAAAATATCTCTCCCCATTTTACCAAACATTAACTGTGTATAAAGCCATAGACTAGAGTAGGGCCTAATGATTCTCTCCCTTTTCCATGATATAATTTCTGTGTCTGAGACTAGAGTGTATGCTGTCTTATTAAGCAATAAGTTCTCATCATCTAGTTATGGTGGAAAACCAACAGCATTAATATTTGTCTGAATTGCTTGAAGGGCTTGAGAAACTCCCTGACTATACCTCATGGAAGGTATTCCCTGTTTGAACTTATTTAATAACATACCTTCTGGAAGCAGTTTCATGTACACATAGGGGTGCCTGCACTCAAATTCTATTTCATTTTTAATTAGGAAATTATTTACTTTCTGGGTGGCCTTTTCGTATATAGTCTTAACTGGCCCTTCTACCTTTACCCTTCCCAACTACCCTAACACACATCCCTAGTATCCCTCTTTCCATATGGTCAAATATCATTATTTTTGTTCATTTGTTTGTTTTGTTTTGATAAATCATTTCTTAGAGCAATTTCAGATTTATAGAAAAAAAGATGATCATGGAGCACACAGTTTCTATATGCTCAACCCACCCACACTACAGATTGCCCTACAATCTGTATAAGCCCCAATGTATATGCCTTGCCTTGTTACGGAGCTCTAGTTACAATTAGTAAGCAAATACTGATAAACTACTAATTAGAGTTCTTGCTTTATTTTATGGTCCAGACTATTTATAATTTCTATGGATTTTGATACATGTTTAATGTACCCCACTATAGATTTAGTGATTTAGATATCCCATCTTCTTTACTTATTTCTCTCTTTGTTTTTCCATTGGGAACATATATCTTTTAAAGATTGGGTTAGCTTTGACTTTTCCAAAATGTCATGTTGAAATTAGACAATATATATCCTAAACTGCTTTTTTTCACTCAGCAACACGTGTTTAAGGTCCCTCCATGTTTTCTGGTGTCTTGATAACTCATTTTCATTCATGATATTTGAATAATATTATATTGTATGGTCCCACCACAATTGATGTAATCACCTATCAGAAGAATTTATTCATAATTTGGTGCTTCTGAATAGAGCTGCTATATACATAAATGTTACAGTTTTATGTGGCTGGTTCACTTAGGATTTTAACAGAATTATATTAACAGCTAATTTTTCAGATATAAGGAGTTTTGTACTAGTGCAGGGAGGGAAAGCATAGTCTATTAAATATTAGGTACTGTAAAACTTAATAGTGACCTCAGATGACTGAAATTCAACTTATAGATCATCTGGTTTACATTGGACAATAAATTAACAAATTGAGATCACTAGGATGAAGGGCCCTGTGGAAATACACACAGTCAGTGAATGGCAATGCTGAGATTGAAAAGCTGAAGAAGGCAGACTCAGTTTTGTGACTACACAACTCTGATCCCACAGCAAGAGACAGACATAGAGTGGATCCAAACTGTTAAAGCCCCAATGGGCAGTTGATCAACAGAAAATGCTGAAAGGCAGTGAAAACATTGTGGACTCCTTTCCCCAAGAATGACATATAAATAAGGGAGAAAAAGAAGCTTGGAATGTGGTTTTAAAGTAGGAATGTTATTAATTCATTTTCTAGAGTAAAGGAAACACATCTCCTTTTATTGAATTATGAATCAAAGGAAAAGAAGCACATTCACATCAAGGGTGCTTGCTGAAGATTTTTTTGTACCTACTGAATCCATAACAAGGAAGAGTTACAGAAAGAGAGGTCATTACTGAGCTGAGCTTTGTATAGGCCAACAGTTCCAGGGTTTGGTGAAGGAAGCAGGTGACCTGTAACCAGAGAGCAATGCTTTCCCTTTCTGCTCTGAGCTCTGAAGACCAAACTGGTTACTTGTGGCATCTACATTAGGATGTCACATGTAGTTTTTCATATGCAGCTTCCTTTTCCATAATTATGTGCAACAGGGTGAGGAAATGCAACTTATTTAAGTGTTAGAGAAGGAAGAGGAAGCAAAGGAATTGGATGAGGGAGAGAAGGATGCCACAAGGAGAAGGGAGAAGGAAAGGGTGATGATGACAGGAGGAAGTAATTTCCCCACTTATAGTAAATAATAAAGATGAGTGTGATCTTATATTTTACTCGTTTTCTTGTAAATTGTTTACGAGCATCAAATATTTAATGGAGTCATTCTACATGAAGTTGAAAGTTCTATTAAAACATTATTTCAATGACAAAAACATGCAACAGTGTAACATTTTAAACTCATAGCATTGGCTTCACAGTGCCAAAGGAGAAATAAGGTCAAATGCCAGCAATAAAATTAATTCTGTTTGGCTTTATAGTGCTCATGCTATTGGGATTCAGAGGACTTTTCTAATATGGAGACACATTTACCATATAAACAAAATGGCTGAAAATGATTGAGAACACAGGGCAATGCTGCATTTGAGTTTATTAAATTTATTATAATGCACAAAATCATTGAAAGTGTAAATAAATGGAATTAATTTTCCCTTTGTGAATAGCAAATGCCAAGCTACATGTTACCATGGATACTACATGTTGCTTAGAGTCTTGTTCTTTTCTTAGCAGTAAAGACTGTCAAACATTAAGACCATGCTGTATTCTCAGCATGCTTGTTGGATTTATGAGACAAAGCAGAACATCCTTTGCTATGCTAAATCTGGTTCAAAAACACAGCTTTACTTGTTTCTCAGAGATGAAGTGATATTCATAGCCACATCATATAATAACCTTGAAAATACGGCAATAGATATATGAGGGTCCACACGATATAACTGAAATTATTGGTAACCATAGTTTTTCCTATAACCAGCAAGCATCTAGAAATATATATGATATTTTGTTCAGTTAATATTGATTTAACTATCCCTTAAATAAAATTACAAGTGACCTTCCTTTGTTTTGAGCTATGATTGATAGCTCAATTTTTTGCAACCCGGTTTCTTACAAAGGCACCTTAGTCAGGCTTTCTATTGCTGTGATAAAACACTATGACAAATAAACAGCTTGTAAAAGAAAGGGTTTCTTTCATCTTACAACTCTCAGGTTGCACTGTTTCACTGAAGTCAAGGTAGGGACTCAAGGCAAGAACCTAGAGGCAGGAACTAAAGCAGAAGCAGCCTTGGAAGAGTGCTGCTTACTATCTTGCTCAGCCTGCTTTGTTATAAAACCCAAGACCACCATCCCAGGTATGGACCACTAAGAGTTAGACTCTCCCGCACCCATCATTTATCAACAAAATGGCCCATGGGTCTGCCTACAGGCCAATGTTATAGAGGGATTTTTCACCTTAGAGTTCTTTCCAACTATACTAGCTTACATCAAATTTACCTAAAAGCAACCAACACACAAACCAAATGTATCTAGGAAGAAAAAGGAATGCAAGAGACACTAGGTCTAGGACCCTATAATAGTGGTGTTGTGGGCTTTAGCTTTTTTGCTTCTTATCACTACTTATTACTTCCACTGTGCTAACCTGCATGGCTGGCTCACCACCTGAAGACATTGCACACAAGGGTTCTGCTTCTATTCCATACCTGATGTTCTAGGAGGAGAAAATAAAAAAGCCAAGACTCCACTTTACAGAACTGAAAATGCCTGCAACTACCATACTTTGGACTATATCAAGACTATCCAGGAAATTTGAAGTAGTTTATTATTTGGGTGTTTAAATTATATGAAATAATAGGCAAGTGAGAAATAAAAGTCTCTTGATGGATTCAGCAGCTTAAGCATAAAATGTATGCTATAAACTAGTGTTGAAAACAACGTTCTTCATTTTAATTTACAGCAAGTGCGTTTGCAATATTCAGATTTAATCATAGAAATGTGTGGGAGAAAGTGATTTCCATCATACTCTTTATCCTCTACCTAAAGTAATTGGGGTCAAACGAATGAAGATGTAATTAACTACTTGAAATAGGGCATAAAGGGGCTAGTTATTCACTGACTGAATAAGGATGCACTAGCTTCTTTCCCTTGGATATTTAGATTATATTACAGACATTAGCATTTTAAATGGAAAGGAAAGGACATATAGATATTTAAACTATGATAATTAAAGGAAAAATTAGAATTGTGACCTGCTACTCCAGCTAAGCAAGCTAGCTCTATTCAAAACATGAAATTCAATCCATAATCTAAAGAAGAAATGGGGCCATGCCAAGTTATGTAGAAAAATATTTGATAAAATCCAATATCCATTCATGCTCCAAATCCAATAAACTAGAAAGAGTTGACAACATTCTCAACTTGATTAAGAATATATCTATCCTAGAGTAGAGGGGTAGTCACTGGTTACTGATGGAAACAGTTAGGAGATGTTGGTCCAAGGAGATGTTGGTCCTAAAATCTCATCTAGATGAGAAGAATAAGTTAACAAAAGGAATTATAAAACATAGGGACTACTGTTAATAGCACTGTATTACATTCTGGGAAATGACCAAGAGTAGACTTTAAATATTTTACAAAATGATAAGTTTATGAAATAATAAGTAATAATAATCAGTCTAGTCACTGAACAATGTAATATTTCAAAAGGTCATGCTGTAGCAAATCTATGCATTTTTTTCCATTTTCTATTTGCAAATAAATTGGAAACACAAGCATCTACAAAAAGCCTATAAATCACATCATCTCTAATGGTGATTAATGTGGAATTTTCTACTAAACCAAGAAAAAGGAAGGATATCCATTCTTCACCCCAGACTTTCAAATTGGCTGCATGAACTAGCCAACACAGTAAGACAAGAAAATGGGATTGTTTGCATTAAGAAAGAAGAAATACAGTTATCTGTTTGCGATGGCATGACTGTGTAGCATATCTGAGAGAAGTGACAGAAGAAGGACAAAGAAAAGCCCTACCGCTGAAGTGATACACCAGGAAGTGAATGGAGTGTGGCATTCTGAGTCAACAGCTTTATAACCACCAGAGACAAACAAGTGGAGGTCCCCTTTGAAAATCAATACCATTTACATTAGCACCCTCAAAGCTGAAATGCTTGGTATAAATCTAACCAGATGTGTAGAAAAGTCTAGAGTAGGAAAACCTTAAGATTCTGATGGAAGAAACAAAATTAAGAGGTAATTCATGCTCATGAGTAGAAAGATTCAGTTTGGTCAAAATGCTATTTGACCTGACCCAAGGTGATTTATAGATCTAGTGCAATCCCAATCAGATTTTAACTTAGCATATTTTTTGTGGATATTTTCTAAAGTTTGTATGGAGAAAGAACAGCTCCAGAATAGATAATATAACGTGGAAGTACATAAAGTTAGAGGACTATTCCCCCTCACTTCAAAGTTTACAACTGTGAAAGTTCTTGGAAAAAAAAACACCTTGTTCTCAATTTTTGCAAGGCTAATTAACTTATTAGAAATTCAACGATGTAGAAAGAAAAGTTAAAATGTTTTAAGTCCAGAGCCAAATTATTTTGGGCCATGTTCGGCCCCCTTCATAGTCTTTTATTGACCTCCTCTTTATGTGATCTAACAACTTTGTAGCCCTTAGTACATCCTTTGGAATGTACAGAGTCCATTCTCCACAGCCAAAGGGCTAAGGACGACATCAGATGGCATCTGAGGCCTGAGTTAAGATTTCCCTTCTCCTTTGTGTCCCACCTACCTGATGCTGCTATCAGTGTATCTTCAAAATGTCTTAATGTTAAAGTGTGGGGTTTGGAGGCAACCAGAATCTGTATTCCTGAGCTACAATCACTCATATTGGGCGCTTAAATAGACTCTTGTCTCCTTTGAGGTGAGAGATGTGGTTTGGTGAAAGAATAGACATTTAGGCAAATACTAAAAAGCACAGAAATGGACCCATCGTGTTTAATTAGTTGTTTTTTTAAAAAACAGATTTATTTTATCTAATTAATTAATTTACTTTATTACTTGTGTGTATGTGTGTATGTCATGTGTATAGTGGTTCCTGAGGGGCCACTCTTGTGGACCCAAAGACACAGGCAGTGTGAGGATCCTGACCGTAGTGCTGGGAATTGAATTTTGGTCCTCTGGAATGCTTTCTAACTGCTGACCCATCTCTCTAGCCCCTAGTTGGCTGATCTTTGACAAAGAAGTTAGGGCTTTCGAACAACAAGAATCTTTTCAGTAAATGGTGTCAGAAAACATACACATCTGTATGCAAAAAAGCACATACAGATGCAAACTGCGATGGTTTAAATGTGTCCTTTAGATTTATGGGGTGGAAACAGAGTCCTCATGCACCAGCTAGAGGAGGCCAATCCTGATTGGGAGTATGTAGGTCATAAGGACTCCCCCCGTACAAACATACTGTTATTATGAAAAGGTTCTTTGGAGAGGCTTGCTCTCTCCATATCTCTGCCTTTCTTCCATGTGATGCCCAGAAATGTAACAAGAAGCTTTCCAGATGTTGCCACTGTCATCTCAAACTCTGTGGTCTCCAGAACACTGGGAAATAAATCTCTGTAATGCATAAAATACCTGCAAATATCCTGCTTCAGCAGCATGAGCTATGTTAAAATAAAGGCCTCACATCCTTCCAAAGAATCACAGACTTAACCATAAGACAAAAATCATAACACTGCAAAAGACAGCACAAAAAAATGATGTAACCCAGGGCTTAATAATGACTGGATACTGTGTACTATGTATGAAAATTAGAATTGGAAGCTGAAGTCCGTTAAAACTGAAAATCTTCTGCCAAAGACATTGTTGAGAAAATTAAAAGACAAGACACAGACAGGGGAATAATATATGCACAAGGCATGATTATTAAAGGACTATCATTTAAAACACACAGAGTGTTTAAAAGTAAGAATAAGAAAGCAACCTGATTGAAACTCAAATGTACATCAGTAAGTGAAAAAAAAACCAATCTGGGAAGACAGTCTACTATGCGATTTGAACTCTGTGACATTTGGGGAAAGAAAACACAACAGAATCCATGACATGATCAGTGATCAGAGGTCGATGGTCGAAATGAAAAGTGAGATTTCAGCAACCCTGCTGTAAATTACAATAGAAAATGCTATACCGTTTAAGTCTTCAAATGTGAAATTTTATACAGTTGTTTAAAAGATAATTCAGTATGATTTTTCTGTGTTCAATAACAGGTTTTTAGCCAGTAAGATGACTTAAAGTTGATTATTTGCTGTTAAAATCTCAATGTCTGAAGAAATTCTTACCTGAATGTTTAATTTTCAGGTCAGACGTTGCCATTCTGTATAATGACCGCTCGGTGCTTGAGAACCACCATGTGAGTGCAGCCTATCGACTTATGCAAGAGGAGGAAATGAATATCTTTGTAAATTTATCTAAAGATGACTGGAGGTAAGTTTTGGAGAAAACTCAAAGGAAATTGGACCTGAAGAACAATGTACACTGTGTTATTAAGGTGAGGAAAACAGAGGAAACCTCAGGTCTCTCCCCATTAGAAGCTCAGCACGTGCTGAGCAGATGTTCCGAGAAGCAGGTCTTTGAAGGCCCAGTCCAGGCACAGGTCTAGGCTGTTGCATGGATAGCTATCTTCAAATTGATTTGGTGTCCACACACAGGTGTAAGACCGCAAATGCGCAGGGAAATAATTATTCAGTGTGCAGTGGAGCTTGGATTTTATTTTTATAACTAATAAATAGCTTGTATAAATTCAAATTTTTAGCATCATGTTCATTCTTCTCTCTAGTTAATTTTGCGGTAGTGGAGCTTAGCTTTAATAAAGTAAAAACCTTCATCTAGTTAAACAGAACTTACAACTGTACTAACATGACCCATAATGCTTCTCCCAGGACTAAAATGTATATTATTAACATTCATTGTCTTTCCGTTGAATTATTTTTTTCTTTCTTGATGTTAAATCTTGTGTTTTCAGCTGGGTGGTAGTGACCTTTAACCTCAGTTCTCGGGAGGCAGAGACAGGCAGATCTCTGTGAGTTCAAGGCCAGTCTGATCTACAGAGCAAGTTCCAGGACAGGTTCCAAAACTACAGAGAAACCCTGTCTCAAAAAACCAAAAAATAACAAACAAACACAAACAAAAAACAAACTTGTTCTTTCAGTATGAATTTACTTACTCTATTTTTCCTTTGTCATTGTATTTTATGTTTCTCTTCAGTAACCATATATTTTTGTATTATTCAGTTAGCAAATCATATAATAATCACCTAGATTGTAGAATTTAATAGACTTAGAGCTTTCCAATCACCAGCAAAATACCTATTTACTGATATAACACCAATAAAATTTTACTGAGCATTAAAATTTGATTATCTTGTTAAAGACCTGTAATTTTTCTGCTCTCAATCTTTTTTATCACAAATAAAAGAATTGCTCTTTTTATAAGTTGTTTCACATGAGAAGTTATGTTTCTCTTGTGTAACAATTTGACTGGTTTATTAATACAACATCTAGAGTTTATCAAGTATTTAAAAGGGAAGCATAGCTGGCTGGTGATGGCGTCACTCGTCTTTAATCCCAGCACTCCTGAGGCAGAGGCAGATGGATCGCTGTGAGTTGGAGACCAGCTTGGTCTACAGAGCTAGTTCCAGGACAGACAGGGCTGTTAAACAGAGAAACCCTGTCTCAAAAACCAAAAACAAGGAAAGTATAGTGTATTTATCAATTTATCACACTGTATACATTTCACAATATTTTTCTCAATTTACTTAGTTAACAAATATGGTATCAAGTTGATATTTAATGTGAATTCTGTTTAAATTTTCATTAAAAACTCTAATTGTGAATAATTTTCTTAACTACCTTCAACTCCTTTATTTACCTGGACACTTGGGTATATTATTCTAAATAGGATGCCCAGTACTAGAAATGATAGCAGACTACTGACATCCTGTTGCTTCCATCTAAAACAAGGTTAAAAAGAGAACATGCAATTTTCAATAACAAGTACTAGTATGTTGCTATTTTGAAAAATAAATCATTTTTATGTACAAATTTTCTTGGGAGGTGAAAGTTTCCAGACAGGTTTTCTCTGTGTAGTCCTGCCTGTCTAGGAACTTGTTCCGTAGACCAGGATAGCCTTGAACTCCGAGGTATACCTGCCTCTGCCTTCCAGGTGCTCAGACTAAAGGTGTGCATCACCACAGCCCAGCTAAAGATATTTTGATTCAAGATCATAGTTCAGGTTGCTCTATGCCTCGCTGTAACGTACAATACTGTCCCCATAGTGAAAACAAAATATATTTGACTTCTTGTCTGTCTATAGAATTCTTGATAGAATGACTCAATTCTCTACTTGGAGTGAGAATGTGTTACTATGTGTTACACAGGCTCTGTGATACAGTCACTGTATTTACACTATGGCATCTTGATTAAAAGTTTAAACAGTGCCAATGTATATGTCGGTTTCTGAAATTTATTCCCTCTCATTAGCATCTGGACTTCTCTGAAACGTCCATGATGACTGTTGAACACTCTGGAGTGGTTTAAGGGCCAGCTTTTGGAGTGGGAATTCTGGTTGAATCTTATCTCAGGCATGTCCTAGCTGCATGACTGAGCATATGAACTCTCCTGTGGAAGGAAAGATTAGTAGCCTTTTGCAGGTCTGTGATAGCAATTAGAAGTTTAGTGTACTGACATAGGAATTACTACGTGGTCCTACGTCCATACATAGACTGAATAAATACTACTGGTAAAATGAGAAACTGTAGGAAGGACCCTGAGAAACCATGAACCTCCATGTCCCTTTCCTGGGGCCATTCAGCCAACCAGTTTTACTGGCCACATAAATTTAGAATATTCTCAAGCCCCATTGATTACATGTCTTACTTCTAAAGCATTCAAATGTATATTTAGGAGCAAGGTTGATGGCTCTGTTACTAAAGTATGTACCATGCATTTACAATGACCTTAGTTCAATCCCCAGAACCCATGTAGAAATGACAGGTGTTGTAGAACATATTTGAATTCTCAGCCGTGGGGTAGCAGAGACAGGGAAATGCCTGGGACTTGCTGCCCAGCCTGCCTAGCCTAATTGTCAAGCCCCATGTCAGTGAAAAACATTGTGGACAGTACTCCTAAGTTTGACTCCTGGCCTCCACATGATCGTGCACATGTGCATGTCCATCTACATGCATATGTACCCACACGCATAATTGTGTTTATAACAATATCTCTTTAAAATGACCAATGATCATTTCAAGTAGAAAAACAAAAACTAGACTTAGCAATTATGAGTTGGCAAGAAATGTTGTGCCTTGCAAAGAGAAAACATCTCATTTTTAAGGAGAATGTTAAATGGCATATTTTTTCTTTTTTTTCAAATCTTGAGTGTCAATAATTAAAACAATGTCCAACTTTTGTGAGCACTGTGCCATTTATAAGGTGACAGCTCTGCGTTCATACTCATTAGGAAAAATAGTGTGGTCACTGATATTTACAGAACTGTCCCACTCCAAGCTAAGGAGGAGTCAAGTAAACCATTCTCCTTTTGATGCTTCTGCAGGGATCTTCGGAACTTAGTGATTGAAATGGTGTTATCTACCGACATGTCAGGCCATTTCCAGCAGATTAAAAACATAAGAAGCAGTTTGCAGCAGCCTGAAGGGTAGGTTATTTTCTTGTGTCATGTTCAAGTACTGGGGTCTTGAGCTTAGAAAACAGTAGGTGATTATTTTGTTATGGTAATTTAGTCGTGTCTTTGGTTTGGCAGGATTGACAGAGCCAAAACTATGTCCCTGATACTCCATGCAGCTGATATCAGTCACCCAGCCAAAACTTGGAAGCTGCACTACAGGTGGACCATGGCCCTAATGGAGGAGTTTTTCCTGCAGGTACCTTTTTCCACTGTGTTTTTCTTTTTCATTACTGTGAATATTGGCATTACTTGTTTGTTTGTTTGCTTTCAGAATCCAGTGTTTCTCACCTTTATTTTCAGTTAGCTGAAGCACACAATTAGGCTGCTTGGGAGAATTTAGCCATGGGTTAGGGAAATACATTAGATAACTCAAAATAGCACCAAATGTCTTTTAAAGAGAGTAATGTCTCCTATATGAGAATGTGGCAGTCAGGAAAGAAAGGGATAGAAAAACAGATTAGAAATATTACATTACTCGGAGGTAAGTTTGAGATTGGAGATGCAAATCGCTTGCACAGCAAAAAGACAAGGAGAGGACACACAAACTTCTGTGTTTATCTCCCTGGTCAAAACCTAACCCCATGTGCTGCTGCAAAAGAGGCTGAGGAAAACGAAGCTAAGCATGCCTAACTGAAACGAGTACAGGCTTGGAGGAGAGGGGAGCCCTGCTCTCCACTGCAGGCACTTACAAGTTGTTTCCTGGGCAGTGTCCCTGTTGTGTCTAACATCCCCAAATCCAAAGTAGGGATGCTACAGTGTAAATGTGATGCTGCTGACTACTCAACACTTGGGGCTGAAGCAGAAGGAACACTCTAAATTCAATGCCAGTCTGGGCTATGGAGTGAGTTCTAGGCTAGAATTGCTACAGAGTGAGACCAAACATAAACAAAATTAAAAGGAAAAACCCTCTAAACTAAAACAATAATGACAGTTGAAGATAGGACATCAGATGTCAACCTATGGCCTTGAAGGGTACCCACATACATGTGGCATACACTGCATACACATAAATAAGAACAAAAATTAATTTTATGAAAAATAAACGACAAATTTGCTTACTGCCCCATTTTATAATTGTTGCATTTGCATTGTGGTAGATCATTCCCAAATTATTTGCTTTGGTGTCTGTGAAGAAAATCATATGGCTGCACACATCTAGCCTTATTTCTGTAATCACTGTCATATTGCATTCATCTATTTCCCTGTCTATATGCCAGTGACAGACTGGTAATTTCTATATATAAAGGCATACGCCACCACACCTGGCTCTTCAATTGGTGTTGAGCAAAATTAGAAAATAAATATAAATGTAAAACACTAGGAAAAAAGTCAAAGAATGACGTAACTATGAGAATTGTTAGGAGTAACAACTCTATCCCTATCTTTTCCTTTCCTTACCTCCTCCCTCCATCCCTCTCTCCATCTATCCATCCATCTGTACATACATACATATATCTACCCACATCCACTTTTCTCTGTGTGTGAATTCATATTAAGAGAAAGTTTGGGCTGTGTTAATGGCTAAGTCAATTTTGTGTTGATTTGTTTAACAAGTTCATTACTTTCTGACAAATGATATAGAAATTTTTAAGCACAATATATTTGGAGGGCAAGGTGAAGGAGGCCAGCTGTTTGTTCATTTTCTTCAACCCACTCTCTTTCTGTCTTTGGTCAGCTGCCTCATTTCACCCTCTATTCAGGAGTAGTTGTGGCCAGAGGAGGAAATGTGGTACCTAGAATCTACAGCCCTGAGAAGCACTGATTTTAGACCTCGACTAAGTGCTTTTAGCAGAGGAAGCTAGACAGGTCCTCATCTTCAAGGCAGAAGCTTTTCATATTTATCAGTACATATAGTGTCTTTGCTTTGAGTGTTTAGCAAGTCAACACAGCAGCTTTTGACTACAATGAACACATTTGGAAGATACTCCGTCCATTTCAACTGTGATTGACATAGAAGACAGAGGTATTAACCAAAATTATAACCAATAGCAAAGGAAGACAGATTCATACCTCTTTATCTTTTATTGGACACATAGTAGTTGTCATTATGGTAATGAACATGATTACATATAAAATAACTACTTCCATTAATTTTTCACTATGCACACAATAAATCAATGAATATTTTCTTTTTTCAACTAATTATTTTATGCTACATAGAAACAATCTCAATTTAGGAAAAATAAACATCTGTTAAGCAATATTGTCTTAAAACTCAGAGAGAAACAAATTATTTGAAAAGTAGGTTATCTATAAAAGAAAAAGTGAGGATTTTTCTTAACGCTAAATTGAGTATAATCAAATTTCTCTATTTTCTTTAGTATTGTTAGAGGTCATATAAAGTGTGACATTTCAAAGTAAATTTTGTTTACACAGTTAATCAATTCTCAGTCAAAGACATAGCACCAATAAAAATCATAGTTATGACTTCCTAAATAAATAAAGGTAAAGAAATATATCTCACAATATTAAAATTAAAGCTAGTTCCAAGAGTCACAAGCATACTATAAATACCAGTTACACAAACAAACCTAAGGTTTTGTAAAATACTTATAATAAATACTCACAATAACATTCTACTATAAATATGACTGAATGACAAATTCATTGTTGGAAAAATTTTATTGCAAATTATTTCTTTGGCTTAAAGTTCTTTCTTTGATGAAAATTCCTTCATTTTCCCTGAACAACTTTTAATTTTTTTCATAGAATCTAACAGTAAATAGCACTGGAGGAAAAGTAGAATATTTTATTTTTTATATTTTCCTTACATCAGAATTATCAAAAATAATGTCTCAAGTTGAAATTACTTACCTGCTCAAAATGACTAACAACTATTGACAATTCTTTATGATTCTCAGGGGGAAAGATTATCGAAGGGGTTTCAAAAGAAGAGGAGAGTTTTGACTGGAAGCAAGGGTGAATGTAATCGCAGTGATATTTTGTTTGTGTTCCGACAAATGAAGTTTGGCTGGAGATCAGAGGGTGGAGCTAACTACTAGTTAACCATAGAAGCTGGGTGGTGATGGCTCGTGCCTTTAATCCTAGCACTCAGGAGGTAGAGACAGGAAGTGATAAGATAAGGTAGAGACAGGATCTCAACTCTTTTGGACAGAGAAATGGAGCTAGGTGGGAAGCAGCTAGTGGCTGTTTTTGATTCTCTGGTATTCCAGGTTTTACCCTTGAAAAAAACACATATATGTATCTATATCTATATCTATCTGAATGTAGATATGGCAGTTACTATTGTCATTAAGTATTCAATATGTTTGGGTGACCTTGTGAGAAATTCTGAGGGCCATTTTTAGAAGGAGTGGAGGAAGGCAGTCACATGGAGGACATTCCTTATGTAGGTTGTTCAGGGCCTGCTGAATAGGTGAACCATCCCCATCTCCATCTGAGCTTCCTGTGGAACCGGTGATTCCTCACTTCCTATCCTTAGGGCCTGACAGTGGTCTGAATGTTAACTGATACTGCTCTTGAGAGACTCAGACAAGGTTTCAGTGCAAGAAGGTTCCCAAGGCCTCCGTTCTTCATCTTCCCTCAGTTCCTCCATCTATTTAAAACCATAGACATCCTTTCAGTGAATTCAAAAATATAAAGGATTAGATTGACAACTCGCTGATAGCTGTCAGAGCCTTTTAACTCTGCTTGGAAAGCACAAAACAATTACTAGTTGTTTGTCATGGCCTTTCAAAGATGGCCTTGACAAGTGGCACAGGAAATGCTGAGACAGGGAAGGGCTCTCAGACGTTGGACGTCAGACTCTTCAGCTGCATTTTGATGGGGCCACCTCTGCTGCTTCGGCACCCGTAGGATCATCCCCTGGAACACAATGAAGAGACTCAGGGCATCACAGAGAGCCACTGGGTAGTTAATTGAGTGTGGTATTTTCTACCCCCACTTTTATAAGTCAATTAAAACACTAGGAAATATATTTACATAGTAAGTTATTGATTCACAAGACATACTTTTGGTCTTCTAAATATAATATTTTCAATAGAATGTACAACTCCCAAGATAAATATGAAGTAGTTGTTAATAGCAGTAGAAATCCTACTTTTGTGGCCCTTGATTTCATTTAAATACAAAGTAAGCATCCCTGCTTTGGCAAAAAATAAAGACTTTATAAAGATAGTCAAACTTACACTAACGTAACACATTTTCCCTTTGTGTACCTCTCTCCTCACCCTTAGCTGTACTCCATGGTACCCTGTTCAATTCTTTCATGGTCAGGCTCAGGCCTCCCTCATGACCTGGTACTCATTGCCTTTTTTCATTACAAAAATAAATAATACTTTGAAATATTTATAAATAAATTTAATACTTTATACATCTTAGAATTCTGTGTTTTAGCAATAGAAATTTTATATTCTAAAGTAGTTGAAAGGTACAGGAAACAGAAAACAACATAGAACCCTCAACTCTGTCTACAGGAAGTCCAAGTCTGCATGTATGTGTCAAAGGCTTCTATCTTAGACTGAAATGCATCACTAGATTCCTTTAAAATGGAGTTTATACAGAGCACATTGTCATAGTGCTTTTTTGGCCCCAAATGATCTTCATTTTCCAAAGAACCATATAATATAGAAATAGACCTACTGAATGTATCCTGTTGTTGTAGTCTTAAGCTATAAACTGCAGCTCCTCAACCAATAACATCAGCCAAATGCAAGTATTACACTGTCAATCAATTGTATATGTAAATACAAAATAAGCATCTTTAGTATCATGTTTTACATCTGTCATTTCTATTTAAGCAATGTTAGTGTTGTTATATCTAATATAAACCCTTAAGGATATTTTTATTCAACAATTAACTATTGATGATATTTTTGTACCTTATAAAAATCCTCATTTGTGGCTAGATATTTAATAAATCTTAGTCAATGAGTTGGAAAGAGGTATCAAAATGTTCAGGCAGTTTGAAAAAGCAGTAAATGCAAAATCTTTTTTTTGTAAGGCTGTGAGTGGACTCTAAAAAATGAAGGAAAGCCTATAAACTTAGGTTGTTAATTAACTGCCCAATAACAAAGAGATGACTGATCCATGGGGACTTGAAAACTGAAGTATTTGTGTCTTGAGAGTCAGTTGTGACACTACGGCATTATTTAGAAATGAGTTAGTTAGCACTAGAGGAATTCCTCCGAAGAAAACTATTCAAGAGAAATTATATAAGCTTAGATTTTAATGATATAAAAAAAGTGATGTATTACTGCTTAAAAAATGAAAAAAAGTTATTGTTTGAATTCACTCTATATTGACTGCAGATTTCCTTAAATTCTTCATCTTGGTTCTGGTCATCTTTATTTCCCCAGGGAGACAAAGAAGCTGAATTAGGACTTCCATTTTCTCCACTGTGTGATCGGAAGTCCACGATGGTTGCCCAGTCTCAAATAGGTAACACAAAGAATGGTGACCCTGAAAAGTGGGTGGGACTTGTTGACATTCAAATGTATACTACACTCTTCAATGTCTTCCAGATCAGCCTTGCTCTGTAATCATGATAAGTTTTGGCTTGTGGTTGCTCTAAATGATGCTGAATGAAAATCAATGAAATATTTTCACAAAATGAAGCCAGCAAAGGTGCTACTGCTGGTCAAGGTCAGGTTTTCTAAGTTCCTGACTTCTTAATCAAGGAGCTGAAGTAAAAGCCCACACAGATTTTCAGGAATAGCAAGGCAACTCATTTAAAGGGACTCAAATAGGAAAGATCTGAATCCACTGCATGGGAGCAGTAGGCCGAGTAAGTGAAGATGCTCAAGGACCCAGGTTACAGCCTAGTGTCTCTTTATGTGTTGAAAAGGAAGGAGAGGCCAGCTTCTAAGGGGTACACTTGCAGCATTTCTAGACTAGACCACAAGGTCATTGTCCAGTCATGCATATCCCTTCCTAGGATGCTTCTGATTGAATAGAAACTCTTCTGAGTTTGATTGTTGTTAGGCGGGTGGAAAATTATCCCATTGTCCTCAGAGGGATGTGGATGTAGCTGCATGCGGTGGAAGTCTGTGTTTTTTAGGGGAATTGCACAGAGAAAGGTATGTGTGCATAGAACACACAAGTAAAGGAGCTAGGCTGCCAAGCACAGCATCAGAGGGGGTTTGCATAATAAACCACACAGAGTCCCAGGTTCTAATATTCCCTCTGCTCATGCCTGACTCAATGCACTCTTAGTCAATACAGTTCTTGGTTATAATCCTAGTAAATAAGGACTTTCTTCTTGTGTAAGGACTGTTTTTTTGTTTTTGTTTTTATCATATTGCTGATTATTTTCTATAATTTAGTCCTTTAGACATAAAGCAATTCAAAGAAAATATTAACTTTCCCATTGTTATTGCTAACTTTTCACAATACGCTTTAATGCAAATTCATATTCTTTATGGGGAGAAAGTTCTTGAGACATGAACAGATAAATCAGCAGCATGAGATTTGCAAAATGATATTACTTCCAATCAAATTTATTCTTACTCTTATTTGTGTATGGAACTACAACTCAGTTCATTTATGAAAGCATATGCTCGCTAAGCTGTTTGGTTTTAATATCTGATCGTATCCTGAAAGCTGACATCCTCATTTCAGAACAGGGTGATGTAAGGATCAGCATCCCTACTCTGGAGTTAGACTCTGGTGCACCTATCACAGATCTGGAGGGCAGTGACCAAGCTGTGCCTATAACCTTTCCCCTCCCAGCTAACCTCCAACAACTCCTCAGCAAGCAAAACACCAGCCCTTATCACTGTGTTCAGAAAGTGTGAATGTTGTAGACTCAGGACCTCATCTATCAAGTTGGGAAGGACAGACTCCCTGTGGCTGGTGGCTCTGATACACATTCCTCTCAAGTTAGTTAGTAGAGGTGCTGACTCACTGAACAATCTGCCTGTGCCAGGGAGTTAAAACTCTGGGTGAGCAATTAATTTTACTTTGAATTAAGCACACAAAATTGTTGAATACTTTTGTAAAAACTGAGTTGTGTCTCAACATGTACTTGAGAAGTATCAAGCATCCAATACTTTGGTCAAGCCGTCAATGAATAATTTGCATGTATGTACATGTCACTTCCGGACCCTCCTAGTTTGTATTCAGGGGTCAGACTCTGTTCCTAGGTGGGCTCCCGGGAAGAGGCATCCAGTTGCTTTTGGGGCCTCAAGATGTTGCATTCCCAAAGCTTAAAACTAGCTATTGTCTCCTCCTTTACCTGAACACTAAGAGGCAAAGGCACAATCACGGACAAGGCTCTGCTCTTTGCCCATCACTCTCTGTCCTGGTGAGCACTTTAAATTTAAGTCATCACTCAATTTTGACATCTCAAAGTGGTGGGATTAGTGCTGTCTGCTGGAGATTGTAGTATTCTCTCTGCCGATTTGACAGCACACGCCCACACACTGGGAACTAACGCTTCACAGTCAGAGAATAATAAACAGCAATTTGAAATAATAGTGCATTGACAGAGCACTCTGATGTGATAAGGAAAAAAATGATAAAATGAAAGTAGCTGTCTTAATGTGGCCTGAGGTGTGGGGACCTTCAATTAGCTGGTTTCTTTAGAAATTAGATAGCATTTCTTTCTGGCACATAATGACTGAAACCAAGTGAGGACCATTCCAAAGGGTAATGACCTCTTGTTGAGGAGAAAAGACAGTCTTGCTCATTAGAGCTGGCTCGACAGCTAGAATGGCACAAAGGGTGAAATAAGGAATAGGAAAGACCACAGGCTTGGGCTCAGAAATGGACTCCTCAGTTTTACCCCGGAACCCATTATTATACAAAGCAGTTAGCTGCATCTGCTGACTCTGTAGTGAACACTTGTCTTTCCATATGTGTCCCAGGGAGTCCTCACTGTGACATACTGTGAGAATTAGGAAACTGGAGCACTTGAATGTACCATTCTATGTGTTTTGCTTTTTCAGGTTTCATTGATTTCATAGTGGAGCCAACATTTTCTCTCCTGACAGACTCAACAGAGAAAATTGTTATTCCTCTTATAGAGGAATCAGCAAAATCGGAGTCTTCTAACTATGGGGCAAGCAGGTACAACTTTTTTGCATGGTTTTTGACTTTTAAGATTTTAACGAGCTTTTCCCCAGTAAGTATCCCTTTCCTAAAGGTAGGCTGGCAGTTCTTACAATAATTATTAGGTGGCACTGCCATCTTGTGGCTTGATATTGTAGTGCACTCCCTTTGCCACTGATCAAGATCAACTGTTGCCGAGAAGTGGAAGTGTGGGGGGGAGGGCAGGGACACTGGGAGGAGTGGGGAGAGATGAAACCTTAGAATATATTGTCTGAAAAAGAGTCTTGCGAGAAGAAATAAGTGAAGTTCTCCAGCATGTGTTAAGGAGAGTCCCAGGCCCTCTTCACCGTAGGAAAGTGGAAGTGGACATGGGGGTAAGCACCTGTCACATGTTTACATCTGGGCCTGGTGACTGTTGTCATGATCCAGTCTTGTCTCATATGGTATCTTGACCTTATTGTCTATTGATTTCTTTGGTTGTCAATGGTAGCACGTTCCATGTTGCTGACTCCCTGAGGCGGTCAAATGCGAAATGTTCCATGAGTGATGGAAGCTATACTCCAGACTACTCTCTGTCAGCTGTGGACCTGAAGAGTTTCAAAAACAACCTGGTGGACATCATTCAGCAGAACAAAGAGAGGTGGAAAGAGTTAGCTACCCAAGGTACAGTTGTTGATGGTCCAGACACTCCACATCTCCATAACTATTCTAATAATTTGGACTTTCTCCCATTTAATGTTTTCTTTTATAAAATACACAGACTCTTGGTGGCATTTGGAATTCGATTATTCTTGAGAAAATTGGCTCTGTCTGCTGTTCCTGTCACTCGAACTGCACATCTGTGTGCTGGTGGGTGGTAGTCATGCAGATGTGAATGAAGTATGGGACAATAAGGATAAGAACCTTTGTGCTCTCTTGCTAGTAGTGGCAGTCACACATTTAATCCCAATATTTGGGAGATAAAAGCCAGTGGATCTCTTGAGTTCGAGGTCATCCTGGTTGATAGACCTAGTACCAGGACAGCCAGGGCTACACAGAGAAACACTGTCTCAATAAACAAACAAACAAAGTGGAAAGACGGCTCTGTGGTTAAGAGTACTTGTTGCCCTTATCAGGGATCCAAGTGTTCTTCCCACATCACAATCTATAACTCTAGCTCCAGGATCCAACAATCTCTTCTGGCCTCCATAGGTATCTGCAGATACATGCACATAATATATATTATAGTTCACAGATATCTGCCTGCTTCTGCCTCCCAAGAGCCAGGATTAAAGATGTTTGTCACCATACCCAGCACAATAAACATTCTCAAAAGAATAAAATCTTCACAAATTATTGTATATGCAGAGTAGAATGCATTTCTGTGAGTTGACTGTTAATGGCACTGTCCTTCTATAATGAGAGTGGGTGGGGTAGACCTGCTTTCAGTCTTCCTGAATGATTGAGATGCTCAACAGGAACAAGAGTGTAGAATTAAACATGGAGGTCAGGAAAAGCATCACAAAGGAAGTGATAATTTACATAAAATGAGAGGAGATAAGAGAGAGGGTCAGGAAGAGGTCTGGTATGGAGGGTCATACCTTTTCAGACAGACACATGGAATGACCACTGTATGAGCTAGGAGGTGGAGCTTGCCTCCACACAAGAACAAAGAAGCCTGTGAAAAAGGGCAAACATTTGCAGGTGGGAATAGTGCAGTCAAGATGTGGGGTAATATAGGGATCACATCATTTGTTTGGGCTCCAAAGAGGAAAGTCTAATGTGGGGTTCTCTCTCAGAAAACAAGTGAATAATTCAACTAACATTTTAAGAGGATTTCTCTAACTAAACAGAAGAACATATTAGTTTGTTTGAGGTGTTAAATATCTCACCAAGGATCAGAAAGGAGGTTGTTGTCTGCCATCAAATAGTAATGGTGGAGACGTTCTCTAAACTGTGAAAACAGAAGAGGGAGACTTGAACCAATATTCACAAAGGGGGATGAGCAAGAAGATGTTAGATATTGGATGTCTTTGAAAGGAGAATTTATATGCTTATAGATGTTAAATATAATCATAATACAGAGTATGCCGTACCTATGTGTGTTACATATGCTATTGTACAATATGACTTAAAATCTAATACTCTAAATCTATCAAATCTTATCTGTTTTTTCTAACATATCCCAAAATACAACCTCTTCTTGCTCACTATCTTGCATGCATACTGGCTCAATGATCTATGTTTTGGTTTTCAGAAGGTTAACACATTCACCATTACTAGTTAGTCTAAACTCCTATTTTCCTTCTAAATGACAAACAGTAGCCACCTTTCTGGCATCCTTGGTGATACCACAGTTAATATAAAGGACAAAATTTAAAAATTGCCATTATATAATGAGACACACACACATACATATATATATACTCTATATATGTACCTATTATATATATATATATATATACACACACATTTGTATATTGTCTTAGTTACTTTTCTACTCTGTGATTAAACACTGAGGCAACTTATATAAAAGAAAATATTTGATTTGGCTTATGGTTGCAGAGGTTTAGAGTTCATTATTGCAGAGCATAGGAAAAGCTGAAAGCTCACATCTTGCCCCCACAACTATGGGCTGAGAGAGGGTACCAGGAATGGTGTGAGCTTTTGAAACTTCAAAGTTCATCTCCAGTCACAACCATCTACCAACAAGACCATACTTCCTAATCCATCCCAAGCAGTTCTAACAACTGGGGACAAAGTATTCAAATGTATGAGTCTATGGGGAGCATTCTCAATTCAACTATCACATATAACATTTACGGTATCATGATAATACTTAATCTACATGCATTTTGTAACTATATGTATAATCCTTTCTATGAATATAATGTCTCATAATAAAAATAAAAACATGATCTGCTACAAAAAGACATCCAACTTGGAAATCAGTGACTATCAATCTATACAGTCATGTTAATCTGGACCACTGCCAACCCTCAAGTACCCTGAAGTGACAGCTTCTATCTCATAGCTGCATTGAGATGAGATAACAATATGCAGGTGATCCAATGTTCCTCAAAGCTACAGGATAATCCCAGAGGTCTCGCCACCATCTAGTCACTCCTCACATCCTACCTCATTTTCAGATCTTAGAACATCCTACTACTGCAAATCCCTTGGTTCCAGAGTGTGAAGCTCACTGTAATAAAGTGAGTAAGTAATTCAAACACCTCGTCACAGAATACTTTTATCCGGGAAGTCTTCTCTTAGAAGCTGAATATAACTGTCTCGAACCGGTGTATGTAGACTTCCTTTTAATATGAAGCTTATTTTTAAAGTAAAATGTTTTCTATTATTCCAGAATGTTCAGTTTGGGCTATATTTATCCATTTAGACTGAAGAAAATATCTTCATCATGAGTTCATCATTTCTCAACATCTTATGTCTCTGTCCAGTCTCTATCTTTTCTGCATTATATAGGAGTTGACAGATTTTAAGTGGATGTGTGACTGTTCTTGTAGTGGGGTGAACATTTGAAAATAGTAAGAATATTGTGAATTTGTATCTGCTACTTTACTGGATATGTTTATCAGAGGTAGGAGGTTTGGGGTAGAATTTTTAAGATTTTTAATGCATAAAATAAAATCCACTGATTCCGTTGCCTTATCTCCTCAAGTCTAATGGCTCTAGATAATATTATATTTAACAAGAGTTGAGAAAGTAGAAATCCTTATCTTCTGATTTTACTTGAAATATTTCAAGCTTTTCTTCATTTAACATAGTATTGGCTGGAAGCTTGCTGTGTTATTATCATTATTATGCTGAGATATATACCCTGTATCCCTAGATTATCCAGGACTTTTATCATGAAAGGGTTATTGGATATACATAAAGGCCTTTACTACTATATATAATGTGATGATCACATGGTTTCTGTCTTTGATTCTATCAATGTGATAGAGTTTATGCAAACTGTAATATCCCTGAATCTCTGAGATTAAGTCAGCATAATTGTTATTTTTGATGTGTTCTTGAATTTGCTTTGAATGTTCTTTACTGAGTTTTTTTGAACCCATGTTCACTAGGGATATTGATCTGTACTTTTCTTTTTATGTGGGTCTTTGTCTGGTTTAGGTATTAATTGTACTGCTGGCTTCAGAAAAAAATGGAAGCACTCATCCCTTTTTTATGGACTGGTTTGAGAATCATTAGTTTTAGTTTTTCTTTAATGGTAAATCCACACAAGTGAACTGACATCACTCGATATTATGTACCATGTGTTTTCTGTTTTCTAGAAGACCTTCTAATACAAACTGGTGGATGCTGAATAGAAAGTTGAATGCATGGGAGATTCTCTAAGACTTCCTCTATATCTGAATTTGCTGTTTTTGATACTTCAAGGATAGTTGCTTCCTCTAACTTTGCATTATGAATATGAATAACAAGTACAAGACTTTATAGCAGTTCTTATGCCTTTGAGAAGCTGTTGAGTTGGAAAGGTGATAATGGAAATGTAGGAAATAGACAAGTTGGTGATGAGTGAGAGATAAGCAGATTGAATGCTACATTGTTGATCAGAGATTATATAAGTCGTATCCCAGTGACTAGAACAGTTACACATCCACTGGAAGTTTGTCAACTTTCTACCTCAGAGAACACTACACACACATCTGTGCATGTATGTTTATATTTGTGTGTGCATATATTTACACATACTCTCTTTTCTGTTCTCTTTAAGAGACCTTTAGATTTACACTTGACATTCTGTTTTTTTCTTACCCCCTCTGTCTCTAGCATCCTTTAGTTGATCAGAGAAATCTAGTTCTGGCCTCAATTTTAACACATCTAACAAAACAAAAGCATTGCTTCCAACTTAGGGTTGCTACCATTTAGCAATGAACTCATGAGTGGGCCAGAGTAGGGTCTGGTCAATTGCTGACATGCTCTCTATGAACCAAACCATGTATGACATTAGAAACTTCATGAGCCAGGGCCATGTGCTATCAATCCAGTGTTTTGGTGGATATTTAATATTCAGTCATTTACTAATTAAAACTTATATTTTTAGGTATACAGACACCCCCTTTCATCTACAGGAAATATGCTCCAATATCTAAAAACATACATAGTTCCTAATCTTCTATATACTACATTTTATTCTATGGGTCTATATTTATCAGGTGTTTTAAATTCATTTTAATAAATTTGTGTGTATGAGTGTTTTGACTGCATACATGCCTGTGCACTTCAAGTGCGCCTGGTGTCAGACAAGGGCCTTGGATCCCATGGAACTGGAATTACAGAGTTATGTGCCACTGTGTGGGTACGAAGAATTGAGCCAGGTCTTCTGTGAAAGCTGAACTGTAGGTCCAGCCCTTTGTTATACATCTTATTAGGCAGAGTAAATGATAATCACACTCTATGACAACATACTATAATGAAAAATATAAATGGATTCTCTGCCTCTTTCTAAAAATATCATACTAAAAATTGTGTTGAAACCCACATAACAGATCAGTCCCCATAGTTTTGGATTCCTGTGAGGACTTTGGGTTTGCTATCGTTGATTGTGTTAACAGGCAAGATTAGTGGGGAAAGATATTTTCTGATAATAAAAATGAACATGTCTTACATAATTTTTAAAGTGGCTCCCAAACAGAATATTTGCTCTTTATGTAATTTAATAGCCAAATGTCGGTATAGTAACACTATATATGTAAGATGAATGTATTTCTTCTTGAGCCTAAATTAATTAAAATTATGTTTTCAAATCACATGAAGATCATTACAGACAAATACAGGAGTAATGAATGGCTCCAATAGCAAAAGCAAAATATGCTGAAAATTAAGAAAATATGAATAGCATCTGTTTTTATAATTTTACTACACTACTTTCTATAAACGTGACTAATTTATAAAGCAAATCACAGGTAATTTTTTTAAAATTACGTCTCCAAACTTTATCTAGATTGTTAAAATGAGTACCCTTTTTTTTCAGAACCAAAATCAATTCTACAGGAGCAGTGTAACTTTTTCCCTCAGTAACCATCACTAGGTAAATCTCCCTGTGTGCTGACAGCTATAATTTGATCAAAAGACTTGGCAGTTTCGATATTCATGCTGGAAGTCTACCTGGGCCTGAGTGAGAAAGGGACTCCGTTTTTGCAGATTGCTAAGTTGACAGCAGAAACCCCATGCATAACAGCTACACATTTCTTGATTGACCTGTCCTGACTGGCATGGAATAGATCTAGCAATGGCTACTGCATCAACATCCTTATGCCTTCAAATACTGGTGTAAATAGTATTTTGTGGCACCTTTCTTGCCTGAGGTGACACAGTGAGTGGCAATAAATGTTCTCTGAGCAACATATCAGTAATTTGTCCTGTCTTCTGTGAGGCTACCGAGATAGTTTCACTTCAAATGTGCATTTTCTAAAATTTCTGAAAGGAAGCACAAATTTTAGAAATTTATCTTTTTTGTGAATTCTAACATTTTCTTCTGAAAATGCTTTACCAATTAAAAGGCAAATATCACACAAGTAATGTTTGTAATTTATATTCTAGTGAGAATGAATGGCCAGAACAGAATGACTTAACACAGTTTGGGTTGGGTCTGAAATTATTTGCCACCACAGAAATTAGTTTAAGATTGGCTAATTTATTTTCCCTCTCAAAAATTTCCCTTAATATTTTAATTCTAATTATTATTATTATTATTATTATTAGTGTGTGTGTGTGTGTGTGTGTAAAATGTGTATAGCAAGGGTAGCAGAACATGGGGAGGTCAGAGGAAAAGTTTTAGGAGTTGAAACTCTCCTATAAATTCTTAACCAGTGTTTTTCAATACCTTTTTTTAACTGTGACTCTCTCACAGCTAACTTAATGCTTTGTTATACCAGAGCATTATAAGCACCTCAAGAATCAATCCGTTAAGAATAGAGGTGGAATAACAATTCTACAAAGAATTATATTTTACTAACTCTCTCTCAAAGAATAAAAATGAGTGTATTATACAATCAAATTCAATCCAAAGATAAGACATCTATGTGTACTAAGGGAAAACATGAGTATCACAAAAATTAGATTCTAACCATGGAGGCAACATAGTACAGGGTTAAAACTGAGAAATCTGAAAAAGAAAGTTTTCAATTTTGCTATTGTCAATAATAGTTACACATTTTTGAACAATTTCTCCCTGAGCTGTGACTCCATCATTATAAAATGATGGTCATTTTAAAAGTATGTCTCAGTATTTGTGATAAACGTTGAATGAATCAGTGTATATGAAGTGTTTAGTGGTCTGTGTTTTCTACACCAATACTTAGTCTTGTGGGTTTGCACATACATCAAGTCTTTAATGGCAGAACTTGAAGCAGAGAAATATAGAACTTCTTGAGTTCAAGTCCAGCCTGATCTACATAGCACATTCCCAGACAGTCAGGAGTAAATAGTGCAACCACGTCTCAAAAACAAAACAGAGTACACCAGGCTAGATGGTAGGCAGTGCAGGCCTGTATTTCTAGGTACTCTGGAGCAGAGGCAGGAGAATCTCAAGTTCAAAACCCTAGCCTGTCCTCCAAAGCACAAACAAGGTCAGCCTGGAGAAGCCAGCCAAACTTTTTCTCAAAGTAGTCAGTGGTGGAACTCTTGCCTAGGATGTACCATGCCCTAAGTTCAGTGCCCAGTATTACAATAACAAGAAAAAATAACAAGATCAAAACTGTAAGCTGGCTCTTTCTTTAACTTGAAAACTGGTGATAAGCAATTGAGGAAGTTTGCATTAACTTTGATTGACATCTAGAATATTCTGTGAAAATAACGAGACATAGAGGCCATGGATCACTTAGTGACATCTGTTTACAACTCTGGAGGTATGTGTTACTGAGGAGGGTCTTGTGTTCCATATAACCCTCTGTGTTTGGTTAAGCTGTTAGAAAATACAAGGAAGAGGAAACCCAGAGACAAAGGGCTATAAAAACTATGGCAATCACTTTGACGGTAGTTTTATGAAGATATAGTGAAACACCTATATTTTATTTTAAATTACTTCATGCCCAGCATGATAGCAACTCTTTAATAATGAATCTCAAGATTCCATCACTGTCGATTCACAAATTACTTCCCAGATAATTGCTTAAAGTGATTTTATTTTAAAGTATGAATTCACAAATGTATTGAAAAAGGAGCATATAAGAATATATACCTAAACATACAAAGAAAACAATTTCTTCTACCACTACTTTTAAAAGCTGAAGTTGGGTGATACTTTTCACATGTCCTTTCAAATAACCCCTCTCCATAGTCAGCAAAGTTAAGAATATATATACACAGGAGATAAATAAATGCCATGGGAGTAATGACATGAAAACACAAGAGTCTTTGTCATCTCAGGTATAGAGTAGATGGTTTTATAGGACTGATTTCTCCCTTGGCTGACCTGAGGACTTACATACACGGGTACCAAACCTGTAAACATTGTAAGATGTGATGACATAAAGTTAATGGAAGCAACTGCTATGAAAACAAAACTTAGGAACACATTCCACAGTTTCAATTCAATCCCACATGTGTATCTGTCAAGCAGCATTTACACAATAGCATGAGGTCCATCTTGTGGCTTCTTGAAGTAAGATCATCCCACCAGGATTTGCTGAATTTTTTTGTGATCAACAGTGCTGGATCCTGTGACCCCTACAGATTCATGTAAAAGGGTTGCTCTCAGAGGGAAGTCATTCGCTGATTCCATGTCTGATACACATTTCCTAACATTGTGTATCCCAGTCTCATAATAAATGATTTTAGTTTTCACAAGATAAATGAAGTGGGAGAAGAAAATAAACACTAAAATTTGGGAAACATAGATACACACTATTTCCTGACTCTCCTCCTCCAGTTAGAAACACACAATGTTACTGTCCCATAATACTTGTTGACCATTAACACTAACAGGCAGACTGCCTGAAGTCTCCAGGTAAGAGACAAGACATTACTCTGGCTGTGGCTGATCCTGCATGGAAAGCACTGTGTAAAGTTCCAGGTCACTGAGACCTGCAGAAGGTGATCTGGTCTGAGCGGAGGGTTGAAGAATTTGTCAAAACAAAGTGACAGCATTTATACATTTTTATTTCCCAAGTACAGAGAAGCACAGATGTCTGGGTTTTAACATTAATGACCTACTTCTAGCAGTCCATGTCTCGCTATTGCTCCTCCACACATTAGCATCGCTTTATTTTGAAATTCTCAAAAGGTATAGTACTTTTGTGGGTCTTAGACTTTTATTTGTTTGTTTGTGAGTACTTTTTAGCTTATCTTTTATTCTAGCATTTACAGCCAGGAGAGTTATTAAAAAAGAGGATCCCAGAGTTTTTGTTTTGTCTTTGCTTTACTGTTTGTTTTTAGCAAAATGCTGCCCACATTTTTTGCTGTCAAACAGCTCAATCATCCCCAGAGAACTGAGTGTGAAATCTTTTTAGATGTTCTTAGCATGGAAATGAAAAATATCACATTTAATTCATACTTCTCATCTTGAAATTTGATTATTACATTTTTCAGACAACTAAGAATACCCTTGATTGTTTGAAGCAGTGTACACTTACCCACCTTGGGTCCAGGATTCAACCTGTTTGAGTAACATTTCAGAGTTGAGAAGCATTGGGCAGTTCTGAAGTGGAAGGTTCAGATCTTGCCCACATGTGGGTGAGAGTTTGAACAAAATGAAATTGATGATTAAGTGGTAAGAAGTGTGGCTCACCAAGCACAGACTTGGCATACAGCAGACATTTTCTGAACTTTTGTCTTTGCTGTTGCTGCGATCACTAATATTAACATGTCATTTTATGAATTTATGCTTTTGTGCCTTTTTTTACCCAGATTGCCCATGATTTAATAAGACATGCTGATGCATTTGTGTTAAAGTACAAATAGATTTCATCAATAACTTAAGATAGAAAGGTTATCATGTATTAACTACTCATAAACATTTCTGAATTTAAAATTTAGCTATATCGTTATTACACCCATCCCGGAGCTTCCCTTAAAACACATGGACCCAGGCCAGGGCTGGTCAGATGACTCAGTGGGTAAGAGCACTTCCTGCCAAGCCTAATGACTTGAGTTTGATTCCCAGAAACTACTTAGAGGAAGGAGAGACCTGACTTCTTTAAGTTGTTTTGTGACCTCTACATGCCTCTGCCCCAAGTAAACACACACACACACACACACACACACACACACACACACACACACACACACGTACACACACACACACACACGTGTACTGGCTGGTTTTGTGTCAACTTGACAAAACAAGTCATCAAAGAGGAAGGAAATTCAGTTGAGGAAATGCTTCCATCAGATACAGCTGTAGGGCATTTCCTTAATTAGTGATTGATGAAGGAAGGCCTATCCCACTTGGGGTGCAGCCATCCCTGGGCTGGTGGTCCTGTGTTTTATAAGAAAACATGCTGAGAAAGCCAGGGGAAGAAAGTCAGTAAGTAGCGCCCATCCAAGACCTCAGTTCCTGCATGTCTGCATCAGTTCCTGCCTCCAAGTTCCTGTCCTGACTTCTTTTGGTGATGAATAGCAAGGTGGAAGTGTAAGCCAAGTTGAATAAACACTTTCCTCCCTAACTTGCTTTTGGTCATAGTGTTTTGTGTTTTGCACAGTAATAGAAACTCTAACTAAGGTATGCAAATACACACACACACACACACACACACACACACACCACAAATTTTTAAATACATGAACCAAGAACTCTATGGAAAAATGAATACCCTAGTCTGTAGAAAATCAGTAAGGTTACATATGTGAATTCACCATTGGATTTTACATTCCAACTTTGATTAAGTGTAGCAGTTTAGGAAATGGTTCTTTATGACAGTAATATGAAGTGCCACACTAAAATCAAAACCCTCATTGTTTGACTTTTAAAATGAACAGAGTTGGATGCACATAGGTAACTTTGGGCAATTATGTTTGCATGAATCTGCTTTGCCTCTCACATTAAAGATGTGATTCCTATGTCTCCACCCACATTCCCAGTTGTTCTCCAGGTAGAGGAGAATGTGACACCATGGCTCCTATCTACGGTAGGTCACGGCAGTGGTTTTCTTTTTCAGAATTGTCTGTTACAAAACCTAGTTTAGTTATTATATTCACCAGTCTCCACTCAGGCACAGAAGTAGGTTGCTACATTAATATAATTGGGCATTTTTAAAATTAAAAACAATTGAAGGTTTCTGCTTATTTACCAAAGTGAGATGTAAACAGAAAATACAGTTCATCAGAGCACTTCCAGCACAGCCAAAACGTTTCTACCCTGTGCACATTGCTATTTCTAAGTTTCAGTCCCTGAAACTGATTTAGATGAATGTACATAAAACCAATGACATGGACAACTGTTCTGCCTATAAAAGGTAAAGGAAAGATTTTTAAAAAGCATAACTTTGAGACTCGATTTTTATCCTATCATTTTATTCTGATAAAAAAAAGAGTGCCCAGTAGAACATGTGATTTTCTGACATTCCTGGGTGGGGAGTTTTCTCTAGAGCATAGTTGAACTACCAGAGATCACACCCTTCCAGAAAACTGACACGTCTTTTCCAGCTGCTATCAAATGCCCATAACACCCAGGCTAAGGGTGGGACTTTGTGTCAACCTCCCTTCTCCTCGTGGTGGGATACTTTGCTGGCTTCAGCCTGGACACGGTTTTTGAAACTATTACAATCTCTGTGAATTCATATGTGCATCTGTTGTAGGAGTATAAATGCATATATCCATTATGGAAATCAGTGTGGAGGTTTGTCAAAAAGCTAGAAACAGACCTACTATATAATCAAGCTATACAACTCTTTGGCTTTTTCCCAAAGGACTACAGAGATACTTGCTCACAAATATCCCTTGCTCCTCTATTAGCTAGATAATGGAAATAGTGTAGATGTCTTCCACTGATGAATGAGTAATGAAAATGTGATGCATTTACACAAAGAGACGATATTTCACTGTTAAGAAAAATTAAATTATGAAACTTACAGGTAATGTGTGGAACTGGAAACAATCATAATTAGTGAGATAAAGAGCCAGGAACACAGATATCACATGTTTTCGCTGATATATAGATGGTATCTTTGACATGCTAGATATGTGTCTTTCATTTGAAATACCAATAGAGGTTAAGAAAATAATAAGGGGTCTTTACAAGGAGGCAAGATAGAGCACAGTGATATAAAGGAATAATGGAACAGAAGGCTCAAATGCAGAGGTTGATAGAGGAGGAAATGGAGAAGGGACAGCTAACACTAAAACCCTTCTATTCTATGGAAACCTACTATTCTGGAAGTTTCCTAAAATATACACATATAAAAAGAGTTTAAATGGAGTTTATATGGTGGTACCATATAACACAGGGACATTGCCCCAATGACACACCACATGTTGGCAAATAAAACCCCACAACCAGGAAATGATTACTTCGTTTTGAGGTCTCATAGACCCTCAAATTTTACAAGCTATTGTCAATATTCTTGGTTACCATCTAGAAGTCAATGGTAAAACCATGTGGCAATTTATTAATTTGAAGCTTATGTAACACTTTATGAAAGGACATGTTTACGTTACTCAGGTTCCTTGTCTCTGTGACAAATTTCTCAATAATGTTAAAGGAGGATTTATTTTGGCCCAGTTTCAGATGTTCAGCTCCTGGCTGGCTGTCAGGGTAAACTTTGCCATTTCTTCCTATGAAGTTTAAAATGAAGCTTGCATGCCTCCAATATACAATGGTATGGAATAAATATTGCCATCCCAAAGAATGATGAATTGGGGATAAAAAAGGAAGGCTAGAACCAAAGTAAGACCAAAATCCAACAGGAAAAATGATAAATTTATAGTTCTATGTCTGGTTTCTGTGGCACACATTGAAATGTGCAAAGCCCTGTTCTTACACCCTGGGTAATTTGGCCTCTCTTTGGGATGTGCTCTAACTGCCTAAAACTTTCTTCAGTATGTGTTTCATGTTCCTGACATCTCTAACTTTCTGGAGTCTCAAAGTATGTCCATCTTCATTCTCACAGCTTCAGACATTACGCTTGAGGGCCAGCATCTAAGGACTTCAACCATGCCACACACTGCATGTATTTGCCAGTCCACTATGATCCCTAAACTCCTTTACTCTGCAAGCCGCAAAGCTATCATCATACGGACAGTGCAGAGATTTGCTATCAACACAGCAAGTTGCTAGGATCCCATGACTGTGTCTGCAGAAGTTTCTGAGTGCCTGAGTGTCGAACCAGGTGAAACACTTCCCTAGGTCATCCTGGGCTAGAAGAACACTCTATAATGTTCAATTAATCTTTCAATTGAGTTTATGCCTTTAGACCTTTGACGTTGCTCAAGATACCATTCTTATTCTATTGCCTCAGTACAAAACATTTGGTAGTGGTATCTTACTGTTACTCTAATTGTTATTCTTAACTGTATTCTTTCTACTTTTTTCTTATTTTTCCTTTCTCTTAATTTTGCTTTCTGAGGATCAGATGTAGGGCCTTGTACATGTTAGTTCCACACTCTGCCTCTCAGTTAAATCTCAAGCTCTTCGGCTTCTTTCTAGTTTCTCTTACTCTTTAACAACCACATCTTCCTTGATTTTAGCTTTGAATATGAAATTTTCTAGGAAATGTTCAAGTTTTTATAATTCTTCAGTGCTGCAAGATACCCTATTCGGAGACCCCTTGGGGGAGGAGGTGAGAAGACACAGCACCAACACTCAGGCACCAGAAGTCAGTGAGTAGTTGAGCGTGTTGTAGACTTGTTTATTTAGGAAGTGAGGCCTGCCTTTATACCCCTCCCAAGGTCCTATTGGCTCAGGTGTTGACTTTGTCATATTTCCTTTTCCCATTGGTGTCTGTAGGTCAGATGTCTCTCCTGGTCAGGTGTCCCTCTGGCAGTGTCTTTGGGCATTGAGGAATGCTTGGCGGCTTAGCTCAGGAAGGAAGTGCCTGTTGCACATGTGCGTGCACTTGTGCATGGAGGCTGGCTTGTAGGGTCCTCTAACAGAGAAAAACAGATGGTGCCTCTCTTGATATGGGATTCGGAGGAACAGTTTGAGTCAATTGACCATGCCACACAGCTGTTGGAGCTCAGCCAGTGTATATTGGGTTTGGTGGGCTAATTTGAATGAAAGTGGATGTATTTGTTTGGCGATAGAGAAGTCCAAAAATTTAAAGTGGGAAACATATTGAATCTTTTTGGGGGCAACCTGTAGGTGTAAGGATGCTAGGTTGTGCAGGAAAGCATGGGAAGTCTCTTTTAGGTCGTGAGCAACAGGGTGAGCAATGAGAATGTCATCCATATAATGGACAAGTAGAATATCCTCTGAGATGCTTTAAAGTGCCTTTGAAACATATAATGGGCAGATAGGAGGGCTACTTTTTATGCCCTGAGGCAATATATGGTCCACTGATATTTCTGGGCAGGCTTATTCATGTTGGATTCCCAAACCATAAAGGCAAAGCAGCATCTATCTGGAGGTGAAAGGAGTATTTGGAAGAAACAGTCCTTAACATGTAACACAACAATGTGTTATGAAGAGGGGTATGGCAGGCCAGGCTGCGTGGTCCCTATCTTTTCCATTTGGGCATTAATGGCATGCAGGTCTTGGAGGAGTCTGTAATGGCCTTACTTCTTTTGGATGACAAAAAATGGGGGTGTTGTATCTATTGGTTGATGGCTCTAAATGCCCCAAATATAATTGTTTTTTACTAAGTCCTTAAGTTTCATAATTTGAGTTTAATGATGGGCCTCTGCTCTATCCAGACATCATCATCAGAGAGCCATGCGAGGGGTACAGGATTTGGTAATAGTTTTTGTGTGGTCTCTAGGTGGGCAGTGGCCTCTGGAATTGGGGGTGCTGTTCTGTTGAAGAAGAGGGTTGTATAAACCCTGAGAGGCCTGTTTTGTCATGGGTTATGCCATTGAAAAATGCATGGTCATCTGTGGTTAGGACAACCCCCATGTCTTCCAACTGGAGAGCTTCCGTTTCTGTGAGGATGGTAACATCTGCTCCTGCGTGCATAAACTCTTTAATGGATTGTCCATCCAGACGTATTGTCATCATAGGAGAATGGGGGAAAACCAGGGTCTGGAACACTTTGGGAGTGGGATAACTCCCTCTTATCCTGAGGGATGCCCTGACAGGAGTTTAAAGAAGCAAGGTTGTCTGATGGCTGAGAACAACAGTCCTTGGCCCAAAGGAAGTCTTTGTTGCAT